CTATACGCGCAGACACGGTAGAGCGGCTTCAGGTGAAGGTGTCGTGATGTTTGAGTTGAGAGACTTTAATGGCCGCATCATCCGAAGCATCATACTTTGAAAAGCTGTTACGTCAAAGATTCGCTAATGATGATTGATGTTAGGACTCTCACTTATTGAACTTCAGCCTTCGTCAAGTCAGATTTGAAACCTTATCGATTATTTCTTCCAAACCTCATCACTTTCAGCCTCGCTCTCTTTCCTAATTCGCAAAATTATCAGCCGAGTGCTTTCGTCGACTTTACGCCTGCAGGCTCATCGTTTTCACCATGACCATGTAAAACCAGAGCAAGTAAAAGGTCACCATAGGAAGGGACTTCATGAAACTATGGCCTCCAGTTCATTGTCCTTGAACTAATTATATCTCAAGTTGTCAAAGTCAGGCCATGTAATGGCTTCATCCCGATAGAGTAGGAGTGGAAACCGTGGCTATGAAAAGCTCAGTCACTTACATCTATCCGTAGAATGAAGTAATCTTGTCAAAAGCAAGTATCATTCAAATGTTTTTGATACAATGCAAGGTCGAACTTGTAGCACAATTCAAATCTACGGATTCGCGTGCTTAATTTTCCGCAAACTCGTGCTTCACAATCATCGCACAGCCTGTGTTCAATATTGGTTCAAAGAAGCAACAACAAAACGATAATGGAAACGGAAAGGTGCCGAGTCGTTCTTATAACTTTTGAATCTGCGAACGAGACATTGGCAATAAGATTTGGGCGGACAGAAGGCTTGTAGCAGCGCACACGACACGGAGGAATGGAGGAGGTGCAGTGCTACATGGGCACCTCTTGCCAAGTCCGAACTATCATACCACACCGTGTACTGGACGGAAAGCATAGAAATCACGCCTCTGATGGGCAAAGGAGTTCCGATAGTGATACAACAGGTTCAAGACGACCCGAGACATTAGCAAATGCCCTTGAGTTATGTTTTATGGTTTTTACGATCCGTGGAACGGATGTAATGCACCCAGGGTTAGTGCCTGCATATTAATGAATGTGAAATGCATTCACAAGAAATACAGAGACTCAGAGAGTAAGTAATGTGTGCTATAATACTTATCTCTTCATGGAAATGGGAACCATGCACACATTCTCACAAGATTCCAGACAACAAAAAAGCTAGAAATATACGGAGTACATCGAATCCGGACAATTACCATTCCGAATATGGTGGAACTGAGTGGAAGACATTTATAATGAAAAAGTGTGTATCGCGATGGACTTCGCCTAGTCTGGGAATTCTCCGCGATACAAATCCTCTTCTCATTCTTGTTGAGGCTCAATGTGAGGGGGTGTGCAAGTCGTGCAGGGCAGGTGGTGCTGCAGGTCGCGGAGCCTTCTACTTCCACGACATGGCTTGTGCAACGATGACCCCTTCATATCATTCACACATGTCAGGAACTGAACCATATGCGAGTCGTGACTCGTGCAGCAATAGAAGGTTTGCGCAATTATGAAAGAGTTTGTATGTGCCACAATGTAGTCTTGAGAACAATAGTAAAAAGTGATGAAAGATATACAAAGGAATATGTTATTCAATGTTCACAATCTTAATAAAGTCGAGTCTTACATTGTTTGAACTTCCAATTCCTCTTGTTTAACAGGCTCAATGCGGAATACATAGATGCATGTCAGACTACAGTGATATTAACGCTAAGGCCCCATAACATAACTTAGCCATAGCCATTCAGTGAACTCGTGGCACAGCACTGATGTTTTTGTAATGATTAACCTTTTTTTTTTTGGCTTTTCTTAATCCTTCCTCTACTACTCGAATTTTCTTCTTATCATTTCCCCAAACTTTCATATCCCACTTTTCTCTTCAGAAATAAATATAATATATTTCTCAAGACTCTTTCACAAACCTTATTCATCAATCAATTATATCGACACCGCATCTTGATTCTTCCTCTCATATTTTTACAACTTTGTTGACATACCTAGTATTCATAGACATAGGTATCCTTTTCCAAGAGTTAATACATTGATTGACTATTTTTTTCCCAATTTGTTACCCGTTGCGAAGAATTAAACCAATCGACTCCAAGACCACCAAAAGCACCCAATATCAGTATGCAAGCACCTCAGAGATCCGTTACACCTGTGTTGAAAGCGTTATTAATGGAATTAACAAATAGTTACAATGTCTTCTCCAGAACCAAGAGCTGTAAAGCGACCAAGTAAGATTTTTTCTTTTCTTTTGTTCTCGTTCTCTTCCCTCGAGCATTCTTGACTTGAAACTTTACATGAGTAATTTCCTTCTTGCACCATTCAGCGGGTCGCGCCGCTCTAGGGCGAGAAAAACTTTTCAACCAACGGTTGAATTTCACATTTATACACCCTTCAACTCGTACTCATACACACATTGATATCGTTCATCAATAACATCGAATATTCAAAACATCTATTTCACATCTTTAGAAGCATTCAACATCTCTTCTACCATCCACTAACCTTTTACTCGCAATGTCAGGAACTCAATCTGAACCCCCTCCAAGCCTTCCCAAAGTTATTGCAGAACAGCATGTCCCAATTCCTTCTACCGACAAAGATTCGCAAAGATTGATTGTCGTTCTTTCCAATGCCAGTCTCGAAACCTACAAGCAATCTTCCGGCGGTGGAAGACCTGGGGCGCGTGCCGCAGAGGAAAAATATTCTCTCCTCAACAGTGATGAGCACATTGGTATTATGCGCAAGATGAACCGAGATATCAGTGATGCCCGACCTGATATCACACATCAGGTTCGTAAATAATCATTATATGACCAGTCATTCCAATACTAACCTATAGCAGTGTCTTCTCACCCTCCTCGACTCACCGATCAACAAAGCTGGAAGGCTCCAAATCTACATCCATACAGCCAAGGGAGTTCTCATTGAGGTCAGCCCAACGGTTCGAATTCCACGTACCTTCAAGCGTTTTGCTGGTCTTATGGTTCAACTCTTACATCGACTTTCTATCCGATCAGTCAACTCTCAAGAAAAACTTCTTAGGGTCATTGCGAACCCGATCACCGATCACTTGCCTCCAAATTGCCGAAAAGTTACATTGAGTTTCGAATCAGAATTGGTCCGTGTTCGGGATTATGTGGAGACATTGAAGCCGAAGGAGAGCATTTGTGTGTTCGTTGGTGCCATGGCAAAGGGAACAGACAACTTTGCAGATGATCTAGTGGATGAGAAGATCTCCATTAGTAACTACAGTCTTTCTGCAAGTGTGGCATGCAGCAAGTTCTGCCACGCTGCAGAGGACGCATGGGATATTATTTAAAGTACCACGTTGTCTGTTTATGCTACGAATTTTGCCGACGAACACATTCGATCGTATACGAACGGGTGAACGGAGCACAGAAACATCGTAGGGTTATAAATGGTATAAGATGATGGGCATATGGGAATCGGTCGCTATGAAAAGGTGAAAGCGGAACTATCAAGCAGACTCAACGATAACAACATCGTTCGATATGCTTATGGTCGCCGGGCTTGGGTGTCTGTGTGCTCTGTCTCTGTTTTTACAACCAAAACATCAGGCGTTCAACATCAGATCCAAGACGCTTTAGTCGTCTTCGTGGACCACTTCAACTTGGTCCACATCTCTTTTGTCTTTTCTTGTACCTTTTAGCATCCACTCTACAGCTTAGTAGCTACTGCACGTTGGATGACGATAAGTATTTTCCCCTTCTCAGCATATACTTTCGGCGTAGCATATTGCATCAAGCTTCCTTCCTGGAGTTAGCTACACTGCAAGTCAGCCGAATTGGCATGGGAATTTGGTTCATGCTGCTAGGTGGCAGACACTACCGCGAGTCATTCGGTGACAGCGGATAGCTTGATGTATAAAAATACTATATTTGGTCAATGACAGGATAATTTTCCAAAGTACCATCAAATCACCATGCTTGAAGTTAATCCATTTGTCATATGCCCCATTCTTCTCGCTCTCTTACCTTGCAAATGGCCAAGAATAGTTTGCGTGATGAAGAATGGGATAACGGTCAAATCGCCCTGAATTTTAAAAATATAACAGAACATTTTTGATGCAGGTTCTAGATGCAGTTCTGCGCAATTGAGATGAAAATGGAAACCACAGATCTTGGATTGATCTCCCTATAGTTCATTGGAGTTTCCTCCGTCGCCTCGATTTGACATGTCAAAATATTGAAATAACAAGTTGAATCCTACGTCGGAATTGAGACACCTCGTTCAAACGAAATATGGGGATGAGGGATTCCAGTCTGGTTCAATTGTCCTATTTGCTAACCATCGCTGCTTCGCATAATCTAAAAGCCAATCGCTTGATTTGAGGCGATCTTCTGACCCCAGTCTAGAGCGGTCGCATAATATTATAGGTGTTGGTACGGGATTCCCTTGGACGGGAGATCTCCGTTCGCAACCGGAGACGTGGCATGCGGAGAAGCAGCCTTTTACATTTTGATGGAAGGTAGGAACAGTAGGAACCGATATTCGTACAGAATCGTGCATCGGGTTGATTTCTCTTCTTAACTAGGTATTCCGAAATGCAGAATTAGAGCATTTAGAGATGATGAGTGAAAGATGATGGAGATGACTTCAAAGTAGGAAATTAGGTAAATTGGGCACTACGGGTGAACGAAAAGAAGTTATACCTCAAAGTACATGCAAAGTACATGCAAATACATGATTTTTCAAAAATTGACATCAAATCAATTGATTTACATTTTGAGGTGTAGGTCGGGTCAAACATTCTAGAAGCATCTAATTCACTGACAGTTCAGTATTCTATTCTATTTGGATTGATCTTTGACATCATTTTGTGGTATCAAAATACGAATGTTTTTTTCAATCATTTTCGGATTGGATGTGTTTGGCGTGAGGTTTTAGCCGTCCACAGTACTGATAGAGTATGGTTGGGCTCCATTTGTTCACCAGGCCAGGACAGGCACAAAAAAGTTGGCCACGATTATCCATAGGACCATAGATGTTTCAATGCATTGAATTCTGACCAAAAGATTTTGGAGAAAATGAATTTGATTGAAGGGAGTGGATGAAAAGTGCTGACTCTATTGAGTTCGCATAAGCCAAATAAAATTCTTGTTCGCTATGCTGGCCCCAGAAAGTTGTGGGGATATGCCTATTAGTCTTAGTGTATGCATGGATTGATTTGTGTTGATGAATTGATTCGAGGAATGAGGATGAGGCGACAACTGTCAGACTAAGGTGGTCTCCATTCACACGCAGATGCATACATACTAGGTACTCTGTGTACTACTCAAATTCACATGTACACCAGCGCCAGTTATGTTATTCTGTGATGCATAAACCTGTTCGATTGCTTCTACAATTCTTCTTTGGCTTCCTCTTCAAAGTTTATTTATCAATTCAAAGTTAAAGTCAGTCACAGATAAAGTATAATAGACCTTTTAGAATGTTCTATTCGAAGATCGACTTGTGAATAACTTTTGTTTCTCTTTTTGAAAGTTTTCCAAAAACATTGAATAAATTCGGAAAACAGTACAATCTTTGTTATCTCGTTGAATAAATTATACATACATTCATACATATATTTGAAACTCTTTGAAACTCCTTACAACATCCAATTCATAATTCAAGAAAGACTTGTTGGGACCCATTTTTTCATCTCTTAATCAGGTCCTATCGCGGTAGATTTTCGTTGTACCTACAGACATCTTACCAGTCTAGTGTACCTGCTTCTTTACCGCATTTTCCCAGCCTCCGCAAGGACCGCAACTCACTCCACGCCAACGCTGCCATTTTTACGAATCTTGCATCACCACGCACCCATTTACCACATTTACAACATTTACAAACTATTTTTTCATCCAACATTTTATTTATTTATTTTTTGTCTCACTCTCTAACTTCCGGAGGTCGTTTGATATATTCCGGCGTGGAGCTTTTTCTGCATCATAAATTTTTAATACGACTTAATTCATAACGATTTTACCTTAACCCACTCGATCTTACGATAAAAATACCATTACCAAGTTTGATGGTTAGAATCATTCATTGCTTGAGTGTTTCATGTTTTGAGCTTGTTGGATAAAATAAAAAAGTTGTATGCACATGAGTTTACTCATCTGACCTCTGACCGCCTTTATATCCACAGCTACATAGTTAGCAGATCAAGCGGAGCAAGTAGGGAACAAGCAAGAGTCACATTTTGTTTAGAACTTATCAAGGTCGTTATTTCATCATTCATCGGATGTTTCTTTTTTTTCCTTGATATTTTTGAGAAATATCGAAAATACATACGTACATTATATTCACTGTTTCCCGTTCATACGATTCAACTTTCACGCCACGTCCATTCGATTCGAGTCATTCACCCTACCTTCAATTTACAACTTACAAACATATATACATATCATTTCGAGATTCGATAAGTACGAGAAAATACGTTTTATAAAATTTCATGTCCGCAAGAACAATTTCAACAACAGCATAAAGTACGAAATACATCAAACATACAATACACACCCCAACCGAAAATGAATTCACGCGGTCGAGAATCCTCCCGTCCTCCAACAATAGTCACAACTGCCACGGAAAAAGAAGCTCGTCGTGTTCTAGAATGGCAAGAAGAAGTCGCTCGAAGTACAGCTGGTAGTACAACTGCGCCTACTTCCGATGAAGCATATCGTGCTGTAGCTCCAAGTCACGCTTCTCGAGCACCACCTGCTAGAATCCAGATTTCACATGCACCTCAACCTCAGACTTTAGAAAGCCCACCTTTTCGAAGAGCGGAAACCTTTCCTAGAGGTATGAGGAGGGATGTTTATGGTGAACATAGACATCCAGGTACCCAAGTTAGTGTGAGGAGGGATAGGAGTCGAGATAATGAACAAACGGTTTACGTAGATGAAGTGGAACGACATGATCAAGAAAAAGAAAAAGAAAAAAATGGTGGAATCTTTGGTATGTCAAATAAAGCTCTGGTCGGTACTTTTCTCGGCGCGGCTGCTGGCGCTGCTTTCGCATATGCAATGGTCAAGAGCGAGGATCCAGAATACGAACTCGATTCAGAGCATAAGAATATGCCAGGTTTGCGCAGAAGTTACACAACCGGTCACGCAGAAACAATCGCGAGTAGTAGTCGAGGTGGACCGTCAGGAGAACGCAGATATCGGGTCATTGAAGCGCCCATGCCACCACCAGCCTCTAGCTACACGCGCATTCAACGCGACCGCGAACGTGAAAGAGAAGGTGTGCTGAGTCCAATCGAAGAACGAAGTTACTACAGTTCTATATCCCATACAAATACAGGCACGAAAATTCGCACAAGAACTTCGGTCGAGCAAGGAGAGGGTTCAAATGCTGGAACGGCTAGACCTCCTACTGCCATTAATGTTCGCGATAAACCACAAAGTATCGCACCAAGTCGAGTCAGCGAAAAAACAAGTACGGTCAAAGCAACAAGTCGTGCCCCAACTTTGATTTCTCGAGGCCCTACTCAAGCGAAAACTCAAGTCAGCATACGGGAATCAGAATATGAGTATGGATCTTCTCCGGCTCAGGTCTCTTCTGCTGGTAACAGAAGAAGCGGAGGAGCTGAAGAAACGAAAAAAATCTCTCACACGCATACCACGATTAAATTCTCACCATCAAAAATAGCACCTCGAGCTTCTCACCCCAATGAACGCGAACGCATTCCGCGCTCAGAAGCCACGTGGGAACGCGACGATATATCCGTTTCAGCCATCAGCGAACGCACTCGCGCGAGAGAAGTACCGCTTCCTGCGTCCACGGTGATAAGTGCGCGATATGGCGGTGGATATAGGGAACAAGGGGCTGGATATACGCATGTGGATGTGGAGAGGGATCGTAAGAGTTGTATTGAGAGGGGCGTGGATGAGGATGGGAAGAGTTATTTTAATCCGAGGGGGGCGATGAGTGTGGCGCCTTCGGATAGTGTAAGTAGTGTGGGGACGAAGAGGGAGAGGATTGAGAGGTTGAGGGGGAGGTTGGAGAGGGATTTGAGGGTTTGATTGATAGGGTGGGGGTGCAGGTGGGGTGGGGTCGAGACGTGGAGGGTGGGGTTTTTGTGATGATTTATGATTGTTGATGGCGATATAAACGATGATGATGGTGATGGTGATATTATGGAATAACGATAAATGATGGCCAAAGGGTGAAGAATGAAAGATGAAAAAATCCCAAGACGAACCGCCTATTTCATTATATTTTCCTTCCACATCATCTCTGCATTATTTTAGCAAGATCTTTTTTTTTTTTTTTTTTTTTTTTTTGCATGGAAAAAAATTCCTTTCAGTTGGGCTGGGTCATGTCAAGTCAGGTCAGGTCTTGTTTTATCTGTATACGTTACGTTGGTTTTTCATTGAATGAGCGAGGGAGGGGGGGTTTAATGGACTGGGTTATTATTTTATATTATTTTGTTCTGTGTTTTGTTTTTGATTTTGTTGTTTTGTGATTTGATTTTGATTTGGTGTTATTCTTGTGTATGTATGTATGTTTGTAGATATGAAATGAACGATATGAGATGACATGAAATAAATGAGTAAAAAATTTGAAATAAGATAAGATGCCAGTGATGAGAATAAAAATCTATTAAAAATTATGTATAATTTAATGATGAAATAAAAGTAAAAAAAATTAATATAAATATTGTTAAAGCGAATGGTTCCTGCGTAGCACGTGCACAGGGCACTAGTCCTATTAGGACTAGATTGAGAAGCTCTCTGTAAGAGAGCTTCGCACTTCCGTAGAACTTAGAAGAGAGATTAACCTACTAGACCAATATAGCCTCAGTTCTGCCCTATCAGCTTCCCACTATTCCCTGTGTGAGGTCATTCCTTTTAACATTTTGGTCACATAAATATAAAATAATAAAAGTTTTCTTTTTTTTTCAAAATAATCTATTTTAGATTATAAAAGTTTTATATTATAATTTAAAAAATAAAAAATAACAAATTTGTTTTATTTTCAATATTAAAGTATTTATAATATAGTCAAATATGTATTTAATATTTCAAAACAACAATCTAAAAATACCAAATCTTAATATCTTATCTTAAAACCTAATCTAACAAATCTCCCCCACCAAATACCCACTCAAAAGAAAAAAAAAACTACCCCCTTCAATATCCCCACATACCACGAACTAAATCTCAGTCTAAGATAATTAATTTCAAGAGTTAGTTTGGATATGAATATAAAGACAGCCAGTCGAGTGCAATCAAAACAAAGAGCTCTTGTAACTCAGTGGTAGAGTGGGCGATTGCAGTAACACTCTGATAGGAGTCGTTATAGGCAGGTTATCGCCAAGTCGCTTGTTCGAACCAGGCCGGGAGCTTTGAGTGAATCTATTTTTTGTTCTTTTTTGTTGGGGCGGAGGTGACTGGAAAGAGGGGCGGGGTTGAGAGATTTGATGTTTTTTTTTTAAAAGAGGATGTTTCAGGAGCTTTCTGAAGGGGTTTTTCTTAATAGGGTTTTTTTGAAAGAAGAGAAAATAAAGTAAGAGGAGTAAATGTTAAAGTGAATGGTTCCTGCGTAGCACGTGCACAGGGCACTAGTCCTATTAGGACTAGATTGAGAAGCTCTCTGTAGGAGAGCTTCGCACTTCCGTAGAACTTAGATAATGAGTGATTCATATACAAGACCAATATAGCCTCAGTTCTGCCCTATCAGCTTCCCACTATTCCTTGTGTAAGGTCATTCCTTTTAACAGTAAAGATTAATTTTTTCAGAAGAAAATTGATATAAAAATATACTCTTATAAATAAAGATTCATAAGATTATTTATTATATTTTTAATAAAATCATTTTAAAATTGATTTTTTGAATTCTTTATATTTTAATTATATACGTGATGAATGCTTTATTCTGATGTTCATGTATCAAAGTATAGACTTATTTTTTATATGAGAAATAATCCTCAACTACAGCTACAAATCCGAGCCAAAGAGCGAGTTCCCGAAACTTTTTGTGCAAATTATTGATGTTCAAGATTGAAGTTTTGAAAATACAAGTACTTCAATTTGTACTCATCTTTCATAGGATCAGGAAAAAGAATCCTCGGGTGATATAAGTTGCTCCTTGTTTAAAGAGACATCAAACTAATGATTTACTCTGGGTAGCGACTTTGATTTGGCTTTCATAAGTCTGGCTTTATTAGATATCAATAATGACACCACCTAGAAAAAGGCGGAAAAAGGAGTCCGCCAAGCACTGGAGTCTGGTGTCAGCTGATCAGACTACAAGAAAAGAAAGGAAAAACAAACTCTCTGAACCACGATAGTTATGAGACCGAACGGTCATGAAAACATCACAGAAACGACGAGACCGCCAAACGGGGTCAAGGAACTCTACTACCCAGGCACAAACATGATCATATCAAAGGCCGGAGAACCAGACAGCGCCAAAGAGGGCAGAGAAAACCCAGTAAGCATTAATACGAAAGTAGCCCGCATTAATGTAGGTTGTGATTTTCACATCCTGGAAGAAACTAGCAGTGCTAATTGGCTGTGAGATGAAAACATCTTGAGTCACGACTTGGTCATTGGAGAAATGGCTCCAGATAAGAGTGTCTGCCTATACTTTGTAGAATGACAGGAATAAACCATAAATATGGAAAAGCTTTCAAAGGGAGGAGGCCTGAAAATGGCTTGAACAATCTACAACTACGAGACAACTTCGAAGAAAGCCTTTTCATTGCCCCCTGGTACCACGCACTTGCCTGGCCTTTTCAGAGGCAGGATGTTGTTTCAGGACTATTTTTCTAGCCATCTGAGGCTTTCTCTGCTTTATATTATGCAATCCATCTGCGTGTAAAATCATCGCTCTAAATATAATATCCCTTCGCTAATACGTACGGCTTTGCGATGCATTTACCTTATCATAGGTATCCATACCGTGACCAAACTCCTAGCCATGTGGCTGGGTTATTCTGACTTATCAGGGGAAGAATCTCACTTTTCGTTGGTTTGCGAGTGCAAGGGAAATGGTTTCGTCAAAAACCTTGAATTTTGTTTATATATGGAGTGATTTAAAATTCTTTTCAAATACTCTCATCATTCGTGCATTGAGTAATCTGGCGCACCATTCAAGTCACAGCACCTCTTTCTAACATGAACATTATCAACATGCATGTAGCTGTATGGCTAAACAAATTAATGAAATCTCAAAATCCTTCACATCGTCTACGATCCATTTACTATTAAGGATCCGGGATATGAGCCGAGTGATCAATGATTAAGATGGGGAAAATGATGTTGTTGTCAGACTACGAGAAACAAGGGGTTACCTATCTAGGTTAACGAATAGTCGATCGTTGTGATTTTATTTGAAAAGTCGGTTAGGATTTCTTGATCTTGACAGATCAGGGTTACTGTTGAACTGTTGAATTAGATGTGCTCGTTCATGGAGAGCGAGAGAAGCTCTAACTTAGCTGGATTAATGAAGCATTATTGCATCATGAATCCGTGATGTTTATTTACTATCTTGGAGAGCAGGAGGAAGCCAGCAGCAACCCCACAGAAATGCATGTAGTCACCAAATCAGTGATGACAAAAGTTGAAGGATCGGCCCGTTCAATAACCATTTTGAAACTGGATATCCATTTTTATTGAGGCTTATTAAATTTGACATAATGGTGCCGATACTCCGGCAACACTGTACTGTATAACCTCGAATTCACGCCTTGACATGAGGACTTCCTCCTGTCGGATGAATTTCAGACTGTTTTTGTCATTTCGTTGATTGGCAAGATTATTGTGATTAAAGATTTTTGTTTAATTAGTTCCGTTTCGATTATGAAATTTTTGATCATTACTATCTACGTGTAGAATATCGGGTACAGTCGGTGTGATATTTGTGCGACAGAACTTAAATCCAACGCCAGGACTCGGAATCTTTTGAGATTATACAAGTACAGAGTCATCTACAACAACATCCAGATTTCCTCTCTTTTGACATCAATACGATACATCATTCCCTCTTTTTGAATTCACGAAGAGAATTCAAAATGTCCGAGTCCCGCTCAACCAAACATCTCGTCGCGATTTTCATTCTCGCATTTACCCTTTTCATCATCTCAATCTTTGCTATCGTTTTCATTTCTATGGATATCATTCATATTCCATATATTTCCCACGGCTTAGCTTCATTTTTCTCATGGATAAATGTAATTCTCTCACCAATATACCCATTCTGGGCTCCTCTAACTCTTGCTTTCTCCATCAAACTTTATCGACACGAGAAATTTCCCAAACAAGGACAATGGATCACTTCATCCATCTTGATGTTTTCGCAACATCTTGGACAAATATGCGTGAATACTTTGAAGGTTTTTGGATTTTTCGATGATATTTGCAATTTTAGAAATTGCTGGCATGAATATTTTCAGATTGGGTCGATTGCGGTTGTCATCATTGGTGAGGTTTTGAGACTTCCGTGGGATGGGAATGTTCTTCAGAATTGGGTCGAGAAGTTGGTATTAGTTTGTGAGAAGGAGGAAGAAAAAGACACAGCTAAAAATAATGAGGATGGGATGGAAAAAGGTGTTGTTGGTCATTCTGCAGATGAGATTGAATATTTGGAAGATATCAAGTCGGGTTTAGATGAGGAATAGGTGGCCTTTGAGGTGGTTGGTATTGATGAGAGCGAGACTGTGAAGTCGTCAGAGGGCAAGCCAGTCGAGCAGAAGCATCAATAGTTCAGGCAGCATTATGTCTCGAATCTTCGATGTTGGTAAATATTTGAATATTTGGAACATTTCAATCATCGGTGGATACATTGATTGTGGGGATTTTATTGTCCAGATGGCTTCAACATACGAAAAAGCTTTCTGTATCAAACATCCTTCTCTGTTGGTCTACAATCCGAGCTATCAAAAATTCTGTGGTCGAAGGGGATGGTGACCAATAGACATTTTCATACAAAGATATTTCAAGGAGGAGAAATAGAATACACTGAAGTCCCCCCCTAGTTTGTTTTTCTTTGAGAAATATAACATCTATGGGTCCAATTCACTACATTGCTAGTCGCCGCTTGTGTGCTCCCCAAATTATGATCTTTCGCTCAGATTCTCCGAGGCTCAAATCACAAAGGGCTTATGGTAAACTACAACTATCTCTATCTTACAATGCTATGCACTTTACTATGTGCACGCTATCAACAAAGAGTCATTTGATAACCACAAGATCTCCTTGCTTCAACTGAAGTCTTCGGACAAATTTTCCGTGTGTCGTCAAGTTTGATTTTCGAAAGAGTGACAGTGAAAAAATGGCACGAAATGACATTACACAACGAGCTAAGATTGTTGTGGTGCTCCCCTAACATTGGAGTGGATGATATGGTAAATAACTCAGGATTAAGACTACAACCCGAGAACGATTCTGTATGATTTGGAGTGGAGGGAGGATCTTTCGGACTACTTACCAGGTCTCATCATCGTCGATAATTATTGCCCGTCTGGAATTGAGATGGTCGAGTTCATATGAATCGGGGACTCTGATTATACATTGATTTCACCAGCACGCATGGATATTACTAAAGCTTTTGTGCCTGTATACTATGATTTTGAAATGATGACGGAGTGGTTGGTTACGCTTGAGGTGTTGGAAGATACTTGGGATGATTTTGATCTTTCTGAAAGAAACAAACTCGAGCAGAACTTGTTTTGCAATATATACAGGAACCAAGACCAATATCGAGACCAACCGATAGAATCAGTGGTTTTCCAGATGAGGATGCGGATGAAGATGCGGGTAGAGATACAGAGAAGCATATTCGACACGACCACCATACCGACAACAGAATCTGATCTAACACTCATTTTCGAGTGTGGAAATTCTCATTCTCAAGCATGATTGTCAATTTTTCACATAGCAAAAGCAAAAGCATCTCCCACCCGAACGAAAAGCCTTTTGCCTTTGGGTTTTATTTCCCCGTTAACATTATACTCACCCTTTCTCTTTCCTAAGTACTTTACAGCATGGTATTAGATTTAAAGAAATTCACCCAGGGGGACGGTCCCCCAAAGTGAGTCATTTCATCAAAGCCTTCAGATTGGGTATAGGAAAGTCTGTTTTAAATTTGGTGATATGGACAAGAAATTAGTGAGACTGGCATTATTGAATGTCGAGAAGAGAAGACAGGCGAGTGAGGTACTATTAAATATGATAGGGAAGGAATATATGCGGATAGTTCCCTGGGAGTGAGAGATTTAGACTGGCAAGTTTCGGATGTAAGATCTTACTTCAATGGTTGAGGTATGGAGGGTTTCTTGCTTTGGATAATGAAGAGAGGGAAGCATTGGAAGTGGTTTCAGTAATATATAATAGCTTCTGTGGTAGCTCCTCGACAATCATATCAACGGTTGACTTGATGAGGATGATTATTGTTTGGATTTGTATTGGTTAATGGTATGATTGTGAATGGAAGTCTATAGCAACCAGCTCAAATCCCCCCACTTACACACGTGATCATATCCCCATGAACCAATCATGATTTCACTGTCAGCGGGTATGAATAGATCGCATCTTTATCTCTAGACCGTATGTTTTGTGAAGTGTTTGATAACATAAACTAGCGGGTTGAGTATAAGTTCCTAATACTCTGTATTCCCAAAAAATTTCAATCCCTATTCAAAATGGATTCGATATGGAAGATAATTTCAATGTTCGAAAGTCTCTCATCCAATCACTATCATCCCACCTTCTTGACTCAAACCCCGCCTTTCTTTCGACCCCAAACCCTGCGAAACTTGGGTTGAAACGATTCCCATCACGCGGGTGAAGAGATTTATGGGTACATGGCTTTGATGTTTTATGGAAAGGCTTCTCTTCAAGGTTTGGTCTGATCTGTTAACTATATATATAAATTGCATGCCTCATAAGTTTGGGTAACCTTCACAGCGGAGTCATTTACAACACCATCCTCTCCTTATTTTGTTTCTGAAACAATCTCGATGAATATCAACGTTCAGTACCGGGTCCTACCACAAAACCCCACGAAGATCGGCCTGTGTATCAATCAAAATGTATCCAAATGAAGCCAAATGAATCGAAACAACTAAGAATCGCCATGGATTGACCGTCTGATCCGTCTCCACATGTGATAAACGTGCTTGACGTTGACCCTGATAGTCCCCAAAGGCGGGGTGTGCCCCGTATATTGGACCCTTTTTTATGCGGGTGAAATACAGTTTTGATAAGATGTTCATGAATCGAACATGAATCAAGCATCAATTGCTGGGTACCTTGTACCGTGAGGTCTTTACATATAAATATCAGTGGGTATTACACCAAATCTGCAGTGTTACATGTACATGTAAGGTTTCCTTTTTATCTTTTGAACAACGCATAGATCTTCATTTTTCTTATCCTAGAGACTATCTGTCTCTCCATCATTCAATTTTATAAACAGATTCTGGAATCTGAATACTGTGTCTTTTTCTGTCGATAATTTTAGTTAATTGCTTTTTGGAGACCACGCAAGTTTTTTTGTATCGTTCAGAGGTCACTTCTGAAAGTCATTAAGAAGATACCCATTTAACCTCAAAATATCTTATATCTTATCAAACTTACGAACAACATGGGATCCATCGCCAAAAGAACAATTGGTTCTACTCACCAATGGTGGAAAGAAGCCATCGTATATCAAATTTATCCAGCCTCCTATCTTGACACCACCGGATCAGGAGATGGAGATCTTAACGGGATCGCCTCGAAATTACCATACATCAAATCTCTCGGTGTAGATGTCGTATGGCTCTCTCCCATCTACAAATCACCTATGAACGATATGGGCTATGATATCTCGGATTATCGAGCTATCAATCCAATGTTCGGTACCATGGAAGACTGGGAACGTAAGTTTTTCTCTAATTTCCACAACTTCGATAGTAAGTACTAATAATCTTAGGTCTTTGCGAAAAAGCCCACGAATTAGATCTTAAACTAGTCATGGACCTTGTCGTAAATCACACCAGTTCTGAGCATGCTTGGTTCAAGGAATCCGTCGCCGGTGGTCCTAATGGTCCAAAACGAGATTTCTACTACTGGGAACCACCGAAAAATGGTAAAGAGCCCAATAATTGGGGAGCCATGTTCGGTGGTTCATCATGGGAAAAAGATCCATCGCATCAAACGGAGGAATATTATCTGCACGTCTACGATGTCAGTCAACCTGATTTAAATTGGACCAATCCTGCCGTACGTAACGAAGTCTGGGATATCATGAGATTTTGGCTTGATAAAGGATGTGATGGGTTCCGTATGGATGTTATCAATTGCATCTCAAAGGAACCCGGATTTCCCGATTTCGAAGTCACAGATCCGCGTAATGAATTTCAAGTTGGAGTTCATAGCAATTTCAATGGACCACATGTAAAGGAATATCTGGAAGAAATGCATCGCGAAGTACTTTGTCATTACCCTGAAGCTTTTACCGTTGGAGAAACCCCAGGTATCAAAACGGCCAAGAGTGCCTTGGGATTAGTACAAGGAGGGAAACCCCTTCAAATGGTTTTCCATTTCGAACACGTGTACTTTGATATCCAACCTGGTAAAAAACCTTTCTTTCCCCGTCCTTCTTGGGATCTTACAGATCTTAAAAAAATCCTCGGAGATTGGATGTCATATAATGCAGCAAATGATGGCTGGGACTCCCTATATCTCGAAAATCACGATCAACCCCGCATTCTAGGTCGTTGGGCAAAAGATACTCCAGAATGGAGAGTTCAGGCAGCAAAAATGCTGGCGCTTTTCCATGCTACCGGAAGAGGAACATTATTTGTATACCAAGGACAGGAAATCGGAACGGCGAATAGTCGCTGGTGGAAAAATGAAGAATTTAGGGATTTGGAAGAGATTAATTTCTTTGCTGCAGAGAAGAAACGTAGAGAGAAGGAATCGAATGGGGAAGAGGTCGATATGTCGGATATCTCTCGTGGGATCCAAGGATATGGAAGAGATAATTCTAGAATGGGTATGCAATGGGATGATTCACCCAATGGTGGTTTCACAACTGGAAAACCGTGGATTAAAACAAACGAAGAGTATAAAGAGATTAACGTCAAGGCTCAAGAGGGTATCAAGGGAAGTACACTAGAGTTTTGGAAACAGATGCTTCAAATTAGGAAGAATAATCCTGTGTTGTGTAAAGGGGGGTTTGAAATGTTGGATCAGGAAAATGAGGAGGTTTATGCTTATTTGAGGATGGGTGAGGGAAAGGAATATTTGGTTGTTTGTAATTTTAAGGAGTGGGATGTTAGCTGGAAGGTTCCGGTTGTAAAGGGAGGATTTTTGTTTGGGAGTTATGAGGATGAGGGGGAGAGTGCTAGTGAGGGGGAGGAAATCAAGTTGAGACCGTTTGAGGGGAGAATTTATGTTAGGGATGTTTGATGCGGAGATATTACATACTAGATGATTATTTGGTCTTTGTGGGAGTTTGGTTTATGGTTGTTTTTGTTGTATATTCTTATCTTTTATTATATCCAATAGCAATGATTATATCTCGCATGATTGTATGGAATTCTGAGCAAATGCCTCCAGCTGCTGTCAGATTCGCTTCATCGACCCTCACTTGGATATAATTCTTTCCCCATATGACCAAAAGTAATCTTACTACATTAATAGATAGCACTCCTAGACAACACTCTACCTACGATAGGAAAACATCACACTCTACACCAACTCTCCACATTGTTAACTTTTCATCCTAAGCTTATAAGCTTATAATTCCTAGCCCAAACTAAAATGTTCACAAAAACACACAATAGGTACACTCCAGATGAAATAATCACAGAGTCGAAAGAATATCAAGTGAATTCTTACTTGTAGATATATAAACTACACAGTTCCCTAGGTACTCTATCATCCGTATTTGGCGATGGTGAATGAATCCTCGATGGATGGATGATGATGATACGTTGAGATGATGAGATGTTGTGTATTCATTATTTGCCTACCTATAGAGATCAAGATTGAACTGTTTCTTTACAGGTAACTTCCTAACACATAGTTTACATACTCAGGGAGTATGGAAAGAATTGTGTTGTATGATAGTTTGTTGGTTGGTGCTTTGGATAGAAAAAAAATGATGCGGAAACTATGATTGTTCAAGTTGATACTACGGAGGGAAGTACAGGAGGCGATACTCGGATGTAATGTCATGGAAAATGATTAGTGGGCCTGGGGAGACGGGAACAGTCGTTTGAGTTGGTGGCTAGTTGGTGAAAGGGGATATTCTGTGGGCTGTGAGAGTAGTTAGATTATACTCGAGTATATGTCTTCTGTTTCCACTTCAGTGTAAAGTGGCTGGCTAGGGTTTCCGGGTCTGTAATGAAGAGAATGGGGTGTTTAAGTAGGCTTTTTTTTTTTTTTGATCCTTCCCCAAACTTAGGAAAATCTAATATAATCTTCATACATTTTGAAGGGTAAAGGGGTATGATGAGCGAGCATTTGATTAGCACATGAAATATATTAGTCTCAAAGTACACACTTGGAAAAAAAGGAAATTCACTTGATACTGATATATTCATACAATACACTGCTTCACCCAAAGCTCATAATTCAATATACATCCCCTCGAATAGAATTAATAGATTAAGTACCACTGGTACAGCGCTCTCTTGTGTTTTATGTGATTGACCTCCGTTAGCGAGCGAAATGAGAGCATCTGCGCTTCTGAGTTCTATTTCATAATTTCTTGTTTACTATATGGCCAATTTTGCACGATTGCATTACGCAGCTGTTTTTCTCAGAGCTTGAATGATAAATAAATATGAAGGACTAGGGTTTCTTTTCAAAAAGACAAACAACTGTGAGTGTGTCCATCGGCTTGACTTCTCAAGTCTTTAAGAACCCCTGAGATATTTATTAGAAAACTATTGAGTAATCTAAGTTTATATTACACTATTTTTGCGCCGTTAGATACTTCTAATCTCTCAGTCATATTTAAACGAGGTATGTATTACAAGGGGATGAAACACCTCACTGCCATATGCACATTCCCTCCCCACCATCAAAATGTGCCCTTTCAAAATCCCTCTACATCAACTAACTCAACACACAAGCACCTCACACCCTAACCACCTCAGCACTTCCCTAAAATGACATGTCCCATCCCCAGCAAAAACTATCCTCTCTGGAACAACCCAATCCTCAAACAAGAATACCCTCGCTGGAACAACCTCTTCAACACAATCCACCTCAACAACTCAGAATCTCTCCGAAAAATCCTCCAAGCAGCCCACACCGCAGAAAAATTCCACCCATTCAACCTTAAACTCCATGCAAACACCATTTTAACCAATGGTGAAATAATCGCACTCCGTGATTTTTCCTATGCTTTTAATCGGAATTTTCTCGGTAGGGATATTATACGCTATCTTGTATTATTTTTTATTTTTTTAGATATGATGATAGGGAATTTACCGAATTTACTCTAAAGGGAGAAATAAAATTTTAGATTGAGATTTTGAAGAATTGTGAGGTGAGTCCTGTGAGGAAGTTAATGATATATTTGCAGGTTCGGAGGGAATTTTGTTTTTGTGCGCTGGGGTTGGGGAGGCTGGATGAGAATGAGGATGAGGATGAGGCGAGGGGGGGATTGGATAGATGGGTGTGTTGGGGGTTTGATGGAGAGGGGGGGAGGATGAGGATGGTGAGGGTATAGATGTTAGGCGAGGATGGAGTGGAAGGTTGGGAAATGGGGATGAAGCCGCACGGGCGAAGGAGGAGGAAGGAACTGAGATAGTCGAGGCAATTCATTATTTATCCTAACCTGTAGATAAGTATTATCATACTGATGAGTTCACCTCTTATAGGCAGCCAAAATCCTCATTTCTATGAGGATGCGAAGACATTGAGATGGCAGGTCTTGATTCCAATTATAAATGCACAGACATAAATGCTCTCTAATAAGTGTGGAAGAGCCGAAGTTACGAAAAATCGAGACCGATAACCTCATCTTAAAACGGTCACAGTATTCATCCTTCCACTTTTTCGGTTTTGCCGGCTCTCAGTTCCTTATACCGATGATATACTTATCTTCGCGAAGAATCTATGAGAATTTCTCTGATAGTCACTTTAATCTCGTAGCGAGAAAGGGGTCTAACTAACAAGTAAACTGCGGTGCTGTCACGCAGCTCAGACTATATTAAATTAATTATATTCGAACTTATAATTTATTTTTTATTTTCATTTTGATTTATTCTAGATCCATCTTAAAGAAATATTCAAAGAATTGTTAGTTAATATTTTTATACTCTCTTTAAAATTCTAATCAATATTCAAATACACCAGCAATTATATATAAATATTCTCATCTCAGACCTTGAATTTTTGATATCGTAATCCTATACATTCCACTGCTATAAATGCATACTTCATTTCTATTTTCACTTCCTGATCTCAAGTATCCCTATCCTAATCCTAATCCTACACTTAAAACTCTAGTACTAATCAACCGTTGTCATCTTTCCATTTCCCAATATCCTAACATCTCATTCCGTTCAGTATCTCTTATACTTACTCGTCCTAAGCATCAAAAAATTCTTTTTCTTTACACCCTGCACAGCCTGCACTCCCTGCGCAATCTCCTTACTCTCTTCCTTAACCCCCTCCGCTTCCTTCACCCTCTCCACCCTCCTCACCCTAACCCCCTCAAACCACCCCTCCTTCCTCCAATCAATCTTCTCCCTAACCCTCTCCACCCCCTTCCCACTCCTAGCCCACCCCTCAAAGACCCTCCTCCTTAAATCTCTCCCTCCCTTCCCCACCCCATTCGAATTCCTAACCCCCCTCCTCACCAACCTCCCCCTCAAAAATGGTACTCCACACACTCTCCCCCTCTCCCTCTCCACTCTACTAACCTCCAACAACCAACTCCTCAAAAACTCCTTCCTCCTATAAAGTTCCGGGCTTTCCCTCACAAAAGGTCTATATTGATCTAAATATTTAATTCCCTCCGCATAAATCGATCTGGTGCTATCTTCTAGAAGGAAAATTTGTTTATAGCGTTGTAATATATGTGCTTTGATGCGGAAGTGTCGACGGAGAAGAGCTTCGCGTTTGCGGCGGGGAATGGGTTTGTGTTTGTGCGTGAGGGATTTGTTGGGTGCGTGGCGTCTTTGTTTGGTGAAGATGTGGGAGGAGTTGATGGTTTGGATTAGGGATGCTAGGGCTGGGGAAGAGGGTAGGTGTTAGTAGGATTTCCTGGAAGTGGGGAAGCAGGGTAGAGGGGATAATTACTGCCAGTTCTATCTTTTCTAATGGTTCCTTCATAGGATTTACCAGCTTTTTCCTTAAAATCCTTTTTAGAGAGTATAGAAACGCGTATCTTGGGTGATTTACCCAGATCCAGTGCATGAGACTTATTCTTCCCCACGAAAACAGCACTAATATTTGCACCAGCATTCATGAAAAACGAGCCAATTTTTGTAGAACCCGGACTTGCTGGAGGTAAATTCGGTGTATCTTCTGCAAACGACGTAGTTTTAGAAAGTTTCGATATCGTTTTCCGCAACTGATTAGAATCATTAGAGGTAATGGTATCGATACTTAATCCAGGAGATGCTCGGTATTTTAATGTAGATTGAGCTTTTGCGTGCTCTAGATTGACACAATGTTCTTGCTCTAATGCAATATCAAGATCAGTCTCCCAATCTTCAAGCCTTGCTGGTTTCTTCAATGGTGGAGGAATAAATCCGTATAGTTTGTTTTCTGATGAGACGGGACTTTCATCTGAAAGGACGAGAGATTTGATGGCTGTATTTATTCGTACCGCTGGCTTTAGCTTCGGGGCTGTATCGCTCAGGATTGGTGTTTTGGTAGATGGAGCATAAGAATTGACTGGGTTAGGTTTTGAGTCTTGAGCCTGTACTCTGCTAGGTGGAGCGGGAAACCTATATGGCTCTCTGCAAGCAAAAGCAGTGTAAGGACAATATGCTGTACAGCCCTGTTGTGAGCCATCGAATATGCCCCCCAAATCTCCAAACACAGATGTTTGAGTCGTCTGTATAGCTCTATTAATGTCTTTCCCATTGTTGCTGCGAGAGAAGAGACCTAAACTCTTTTGTTTCTTCAATATTGGTTGTTTCGGAAGAGCCACTAAGTCATTTACTGAATCACTTCCTTCACAAGGAAAAAGGCCCAAACTTTTTTGCTTCTTCAATGCTTGTTTAGTCGGCAATGGTGGTGGGAAGCTCATGAAAGAATTTGCCGTAGAGACAGGAGAAATGTGAGATAATGTAGTACTTGATTGTACATCTGGAATAGAGATACCCAATGCATTATCTCGGCCATTGAATGTAGCAAATTTAGAGCCCACAGATGATTTTAGTGGACTTTTTGGGCGTTCCGATGATTTCCTGGCAGTTTCCAAACCTACGCTATCATGAATTGCTTCTGTATCGTCAAATCTCACAGACTTCAAACTTTCAATTGATTTCCTGTGGAAGATGCTGGCGATACTGCTCTTTTTTCTTAACCGTGGCTGAATCCCAGGAGGGGGTTCGTAGGGATTGTCCAAGAACGAAAGGTCCGCATTTGGAGATAACTCTGGTAGAGTGGGTTTTCTGATAGCTGCATCTGCGAAGTGTCCTTCTGTAGTGAAGTTCATGTTTTTGTTAACGGAAGCTGGTGTGAATTCGCATTGAATGCCATGTGTCGGCCTTGATTTTGTGAGTTTTTTGCCTTTTTGATGAATCCCCATACGTAGAGAAAGTGTAGTAGGATTCAATGATGAGGGTAAAGGATATTTTGACTCCGATAGCAAAGTATTTTGTGTTTGGACTCCATTAACTGAAGATTCATGTAAGATAGTATTACGAAGTTGAGCTCTATCGCCAAGTGTATTAGGAATTTCTTGTCTCAACGGTAGAGGTGATCTTGAAGTTGAAAGAGATGAACTGAGGGTACGCATCTCCGCAGCAGAACTGTCATCTAGTGGTATCTTACGTAGTTTGATTCTCGGTGCGGTCAGCGCTGGAGTAGTTTTAGAAGTAGGAAAATCATAATCACTAAAAGCCGGAGACGAATTTGATACCCGAATATCCGTAGAAGATTCGCGCAAGAGTGTTTTGCGAAGTTGAAGTTTTCGTGAAGTACCTATCACTGGTGTCTCTTGCTGCAAAGGCACTTGAGAGTTGATGGTCGGAGCAAAATCACTCATTGCCCGACCTCGAAGACCGCCAGAGGAGCCATATGACTTCTGTTTTCGGAGCCGGGGTCTTTGAGTATTCTCTGGAGCTATGGCCTTTGGAACTGAAGGATATCCGGGTAATTCTCGTAGATCCAAGGCTTGATATGCTTGAATTGCACTTGTATTACTCTTTAAGGCCTTTTCAACTTGTTTTCTTGGGCTGATTCTAGTCGAGGAATTCTCATGTGGCGAAGAGCCGGCTCGAAGCGTCTCAAATGAAGTAGCGCAGCTATCTTTATACATTCTGTGAGGTTTAATCTTTGTGGAAGTGGCACTTGAGGCTCTAAGCCGTGAGGATGAATTTATCCCATTGGTAAAAGATGCTCTTCTTCTAATAGGAGCTTCCCCGCGGCGCAAAATTTGCAGAAGCTTTTCATCTTCAGATATTTTTCGTGGAGGTTGTTGATATTTCGGATTGGGAGGACCTCTTGACCATGGATCAGGGTATGATGTTTGACGGGATGTTGATTTCTGATGCTGATCTTTCAATGGGGCCCAGGATTGGGAACTGCTATGTTGTGCTGCTTCAGATTGTTGCTCCATAAATGGTGTATTTGCTCGTGGCCTCGTATGTTGGTTGGTCTGTACTGTGACTTCCATTTTTGTACTTGGCGGAATTGAAGTTGAGAAACTTTGATTCTGGAAGAGGTTAGGAGTCGTCACAACAGAACGGAGTATTCTTGGAGCATTCATTGGTATGGTATGATATTCTTGAGAGTACTCGTGGTGACGTTTGGGAGATGCCAGGCGTTTTCGACTCTCTAGTTTTCCTTCACCCCTGCCAGAACTTTGTGACTCGATTGGGGAATCGGAATTGATTGCGCTGTTAGAAGAATTCTCATGACTGTGCACATTGTCCGTTATGCTTTTTGAATGAAGTCTAGAAGTTGGAATTTTTGGACCGGGAAGAACATACTTTGCCGTGGCTAATTGTTCACTTTGATTATCCTGTCGTTCAGTGCGAGCTGATAATAATGAAGATGCGGTTGTGCCTCTGGAATGTGCAGATCTAATGGTGGATGCTACTGCAGTGCTTTTCTTGAAGAACATAATATCGTATACAGCATTGGATTGCTCGATCATCTTACTGGCTAGCTCAATGTAATCTTTTAAATTTTCTCGAGTATCAATCCAATTATGTTTGCAGGCTGAGTCTTTGAGATGCATTTCAAAATCATTCAGTGCTTTAATACCGCTGTGCGACACCTCAACGATGAGATTGTAAAATTTGGATCGGTGTCTTCGTAATTTTTCAGGATCAATGCGATTGTTTGGAAGTTCTCGGATGCATGGTGGATAAAGGGTATTGAGCATCGCAATAACATTCGGTTTATAAAAGGGTAGAGTTTTGAGTTCATGAAGCATAGTCTATCGAGTCAGTCAGCATGATAGATGACTTTGAGAAACAGAGTAACATACCCAGATTCTCAGATCAATGAAGCAAGTAGCATAAAAACCTTCAATAATTGTCTCCTGGGCTTGGATATCTTCCACCCACTTCTTGGCATCAGGATCAGCACTGAGCACCTTTCTCCAGTTATGCTTGTCAATTTTCAATCGCAAGGCAACTTCTCTAAGAGCTTCTCTCCTTCGGCACTCTAGGTCCTGAAGATAGTCTATGCCGGTGAGCGCCTGACTAAAGTCCACTTGCTCCTCCACTTTTGTAAATACTTTATCCAAGCACCATTTTCTGATGAAGTCTGGTGGAAGTCCTCGACTTGCACGTTTGCCATCGGAGAATTCTGATGCAAAATCAACATCTAGTAGAGTTTCATTGTGGGGATCCATGAAAGGGTCATGAACAACATGATTAATCTTTTCTGCCTCGATGCTTTCATCCCTGTTGTCTTTGTCTTTGCTGATCCCATCCTCCTTCTTTCCAAGCTTTGATTCTTCCAACGAGATAAGAAACTTAATGATTGCTGTTCCCTTTGGTTCATACTGCCACCATTTGTATGCCTCCTTCAATGTTGGTACCCGATGACCTTTTCAGAAAAGAAGTCAGTTATTACTACAGAGGTTGCGCCCGGACAATCCGTTATAGTGGGAAAGAAGAAGAAATTACAATGTTTCAACATACCTGCATTAAAGGAAAACATTATTCTTAAAGGAAGTTCATAGGACAGATGACACTCTAAAACACGATTGATAATCCAAGGAGTTTGATCTTGGTGTTGACCAATGGTGGGTCTGGTAGGAGAGCTGAAGATCGGGTCGCTTGAAGTTGATGATAAGGAAGACCTGGTAGATGAGGCATCATCCTGCCATGAAGCACTTGAGAATGAATTTCTTGCCATTGTATTGAGTGCCTTTCAACTCAAAGGTGATCCGTGCTCACGCCAATCATTGAAGGTTATAATACCGTGTGAGTGAATCACTTGAAATAAATATCTTTGAGACAAGGACAATGACAATGACAACAAAAATAACAACGCGAACAATGTAGAAAGCTCTACTGGATACACTTTCGTAGAAATGCTATTCTTCTTCCGCTCTTCTTCCATGGGCAATGACATTAAATACCCCAGACAATCATGCGTCAGTGGATATCAGATGATGCGATCCGTGTTCTTGAAGCCCTCAACGTGCATAGTAATGGTAGTTTGTTGAGGTTTTATCGAAGTAGCTATAAGTAAGAAGAGTCTCATCATATATGAAAAGACTTATAACCTCAAGTTCTTTGATTATTATCCATTCGTTCAATATCGCAGTACTAACACTCGTCGATGACTCGGTAACCACAGATTACATCTTGATGTCAGTATCCGCATGGCAAACGGATGAGAGCAAGGTATGCTGGAAGTGGGTCATCCCGGCTCCAGGATTTTGACATATGATGGTAAGTTCAAACGGGTACTTAGGCTTGAGAAGAGATGTATGATGCTACTTTCATCTCACCCGGGGAGGGGGGAAGAAGTAGATCACATCCGGGTCCATGCCCAGTGGCTTTGAAAGATCCATGTTCCACGATGAATACTAGCCAATGGAAGTATTATTTCATACATATGTATTTGCTCGATTAGCTCAAGCTTTGGCAAAGGTATAAAATTGGTTGCAAAGGGGAAAGCCTATCCATAAATGGCAATGGCTGCATCTTCACATGATTATATACTTTGATGTGCAGTTTTCGAATTGTTCCACGGTATCCCAACGAAGCTGGCATGTTCCTCAACATTGTTCATGTACGATTAAAGGGTGGTATGCATTCATATGTCGACCATCTGGTGCTCGAGGTCGGCGTTCATTTTTAGGTTAGATGAACGTCCTGTATATCCTGCATCGGAAAGATAATTGACCTTCAATCGGAATCTCCTCATAAATCATATATACCACATGGCTCTCAACGATCAAGGATATAAGGCTTAGTACAGCTTGATCTATCTTGTTCAGAAAGGGGGGGAGGCTTGGGAATACAAGAAGCAACGTTGAAATGCTAATTGCCGTCGCTAGTAATGCAATTGTCCTTTTCTAGAAGGACACGGAAGAAGGAGTGTGAAGATTGCATGATGTTGAAGGTATTTTGAAAGGTCTTGAGATCCGAAAGCGATTGTTGTTTCATGAACAATATTCTGCACTAGAGAGATTGAACTGATGAAGATTTTCCAAAGTTTCTTGATGTTGTTGACATGTTCATGTGGTGACGAAGGTCACCGTATAGTCCAGGTTTGGGCGTTAGTCCATGACTAAGGACAAAACATCATCATGCTTCATATTTGAGCCCGCTACCCAGCAATTTATATACTAATCCTATCAAGAACCTACGTTCAAGTGTGTTTTTGCTTCACGGACATTCCTACCAAATAAGTCCAGAGAGTTAAACCCTTCGAGGACTTGAGAGCATATGAAAGGTTACAAGACTGCTGTCATTATGCATGATTTGACGGCAGTGCGGATAATCTCGAAATGTTTGCGGCCAACAAAACGTTAGGAATGAATCCGAATTACTATTGACAGCCGCTGTGATCCGACGGGTAGTGGTATATTTGATCGAGAAGAAGTAATTTGGGATGCAAAGACTCGTGATCTTTCTACCCAGTATCACACAGGATTTTAAAGAACTAACTGATCTCCTGATCAACCTTACCAATTGACAATTATCACAGTGAGCCAAAACTTCATTTTGCTTTTTATTTTATGAATCTAGAAACTGGGACCATACCAACTAAGGTTAAACATACCTAGCATATGAGAGAATCACACAGAGTATATGTCACTCGTTTCAGCTTTCAACTTCGCCGTAATTTACCATAGCTTCAGCACCGCCAAGCAGATTAGGAACATCAAACTTTGACGGCTTCAAATCAAACATAAAACATAATCTAATACTTTTAAACAACAATCAAACAGCAACAAAAAACAAATTAGAAATGATTTCTGACAGTTATACCCAATTCACACCTTTTCCTTGATCATTCTTTTCCATTACCAATATATTCATACATACATCCGAAAACAAGAGGAAGGGAAAAGGGGTATAACCTTGACCTTGACCATGCAACCTTCAATCATTCAAAGATCTCTGGCCAAAAGCACCATATTACGCGCTTCTACAACGCGCCATTGGATACAAACACGAAAGCCCATCATCGCACAATCACGATTACGATGTATCTCGACGGAAGCAAATGATTCTAACCCTAAAAAACGTGAGTATGTTCCTTTCTTTGAATATCTCCGTCCAACCCATGTACTGCTTGGCATGCATTTATTCCTTTCACTCGTTCTTTTTCATCGGAACTTAATTTTCAATGGGGATGTCTCAATTATCTGTGGTCCAATCTCACTTTGATGGCCATTAGCGTAGCACCAGCTAGGTGTGTAGAATAGGTCAAAAAGATTACTCCGATGAGTGCTCTTCTTCTAGAAGGATGGTGTATGCACCCATGGTGACCATAAACATCTTCATACACGTGAAAACCACGTGTTGTTTGCGACAACTTACTTCTTATCTTTCATCATCAATCATCGTTAGAGAATCTTCATCTGACAAAACACTTAGAAATCCCTGAGGCGGAACCACAAAACAATCATTATCGAAAATCTCGAGAAGATTCGTCGTCACATGATGAGTCATCCAATCTCAAGGCGAAGATGCTCGAGGCTGCAGCGACGGCTCTTGCATCCATCATTGTACTTGGAACAGGTTTTGGTTTAGGAGGTTATCTCTATCATAGATTCTACAAATGGATGGTTCTTCATAAGATGGAAATTGCCTTTAAGCCAGGTGATCCAGTTTTAGACCTCGCCGCTACCTCGAAACAAGTGCCTAAAAAGTATACAGCTCAAGATGATGAACATTGGATACATCGTGCAGAGCAAGAGAAAATTGATAAGATAGTGAATGGAGAAGATCGTGGTCATTACCATTTGTTGATTGGAGAAAAGGGTGTGGGCAAATCTAGCATGTTACTTGAAGCTATGCAGAAGATCGATGGAGAAGGAGTTAGTATGTTTGAAGCACATGCGGACCCTGAGATTTTTAGAGTCCGTTTAGGAAAAGCTCTCAATTTTGAGTTCAATGAGGATTATATTGGATCGTATTTCTCTGAAAGGGGTCCTAGGGATAGCACAGCTTTGTTGGATATCGAACGGGCGATGAATAAATTGGAAAAGGTAGCATTAAAGAGAAGAAGCTCAGGACGTGGACCTCTAGTAAGTTTATGCCCCCCTCATCCCGTGAAATTCTGGCCGGAGTGTCGTCTCATAGATTGTTAATACTCACGATTCCAGATTATGATTATCAATGCAGTACATCTTCTTCGAGATGACGAAAATGGCAGGGATCTACTTGAGCTTTTACAACAACGAGCTGAACAATGGGCCGCAGCTAATCTAGTCACCATGGTTTTTAATAGTGATGACTACTGGGTTTACGAAAGATTAAAGCTACTAGCAACCCGTATGGAAGTCACTACTATTCCGGATCTTCCACGTGGATTAGCAGTGTCTGCACTTCAAAGATATCGTCAGAAATATTATGCTGAAACTCTTTCCTCTGAAATCTTAAATGAAGTTTATAACAGAGTAGGCGGCCGTTTAACCTTTTTGAACCGAGTTGCCAAATCTTCAAACATGCTTGAAACTTGCGATAATATCATCGACACTGAACGACGATGGTTCCTAAATCAATGTTGGATCCTAGGAATGGAAATGGACGATGATGTAATGGATCAACAAAAATATGCCGTAAGTACCACTCCCCACTTAATATTCCCTCCTACTCACCCTCAATAGTCCGCAGCCATGGTCCTAGCCCAAGCACTCGTCGCCGCCGAAAAAGACACACCTACCTATATCGACGACGGCTCCCACAATATCCCCGAAATCCCCCTCCACAAAGCCCGTCAAATCATGACCCGAGCAGATTTCATCCAACAATACGATCACGTTAATCTCTTTACAATTACCTCGAAAGCCATGGTTCGAGCGGATTCAGTACCAATGCAACAGGCGTTTCGAAGTATCTGTGCTGAAGAAGGCTTTGAAGAACATCTCGAGGCTACTTTACAGAGAATTAATGATATTGAAAGTTTAGGGAGGACGAGGGAAATTGTGGCGAAGGATTTGGTCTTGGGTGGGAAGTATAAGTTTGTTATGAGTGATGGGGAGAAGAGGGGTTCGAAGGTTACGGAGGTTACTTTGGAGGAGAAAGAGGAGGATGGTAGGGATAAGTAGAGTGTTGGTAACATTATATTATTGGGGGTATTGTATGATAGTTTAGATTTTGTACATATAGAAGTGATTGGATAGGTTTTGATTATTAATGTTATTTACACAGTTAGATCTAATAAAACTATACATTCATACTTGAAAAATTCAATGTGAGAGAAGTTTCATCATCCTTTGCACCTACCCCATGGTCAAACTCTCACAGCACATCCAACCATTTTTAGGTATTCTGGTAGTAGTCCAGAACTGAATCGAGTTATTTAGTCTTATTAACTACTTTCTCTTTTCATACTCATTTACAATGATAACCTCGAGGAACCATAAAAACGTGAACATACGCATCACATATTTTCCCCGGCGCATTTAAATCAAGATTTCCATCACTCTTCCACAACATATTAAATAAAAACTCACACAGAACGACACACCAATATCCTCCTTCCAACATTAGCCTCCCCAAAAATAATATCCAAATACCTATAACATAAACCCACTCATCCAATAACCCCCAACAAATCCAAGTATCCTCTACTCCATCGAATCCAATCCACAGCCTCCAACAAAAACAAAACAAACCTCTCCGGATTTTCCGTAGCGGGGAAATGACCCATACCAGACATAGAAACATGTTTAGCACCTAGAATTTTATCACAAGTAGCTTGAGCTATCGCTGGAGTATTACTCCAATCATATTCACCCGTTAACATATACACTGGACATTTTTTTGTATCGATATTGGAGACTCGGACGCGTCCGTCGAAACCTCCAAAGTAGAAATTTAAATCGCCGTGGAAGATTCCGTAGGCTTGTTGGCTGTATAGGTGCCAGATTAGTTGTTTGTTGGGGAGAAGGGTGGTTGGTGATAGCATCTTTTAGTGGGTGGGTGTTAGCTTTGTGGGTGAGAATAGGTGAGAATAGGTGAGAATAGTATAGGAGAACTTACTCCGTAAATCCATTCGGGATTGAAAAGGGATTGGTTGATGTAAGGTGATAGATCGTTAAAGTGACGATCCATGTTGAGATAATCGCAACTATCATTGTCAGCGATGCTTTTGAGAGGATAGATAGATGTCTTACCCTTGCAGTGGAATTACTCCACCGGCACCCACTTCATCAGCTCTAGTCGCTACAGCTAGGCAAGCTTGACCAGCCATAGATGCTCCACATATTATAGGCTTTTTCAAATTTAACTTCTTAATTATGGCTGCGATAGCACCAACATAGCTATCTTCGGTGTTTGTGTAATCACCGGGACTAAAGTATTCAGTGTTAGCAATTATCTTACATGATTTAACGACACAGTAACGTCAAACACTGGTGATCTTGCGTCATGAAGCTAACACAATGGTACTAAAGGGTACTGTTATACATACCAATAATTTTGAGGAGGGAAGCTTTTTCCATGACCTGGTAGATCAAAAGCTATCATATTGCACTTCTCCCGCATTGTAGCATGATTCATAACGCCATGATATTGCCGACCATCTGCACCGGCGGTATGGAGGAACACTATGTCTTGTTCTCCGAAACCGCTTTGTTCGTAAAATACTTTGCATCTTCCCCATGTTGGGATAGTTAGGTATACATAACGGCCAATAACATAATCCTCATCCATTTCAAGCTCCTCGTCCACTTGCATCGGCCCGCAATATGCGTCATGAAGGACTTCAAGGACACGTCTCCAAATATGGGTATGCTGAGTGAAGGATATTTGATCTCCTTGAACCTGAGTACCTTCCTGCTTGATATTCATTCCTAACATACCCCAATAACTTTGGAATGGAGCCACTGGGATTGGTTGGAAAAACTGCTCCCAGTGTTCAGGTGAAGCCGATAGTATAAATGAAGCCTCCTGGGCATTACCGGCTTTAGCATGACATTTGCCATTATCAATGGCAATAATTATGATTTTATCTGACAAAGCTGTGCCAATCCCAAAGACAATCTGAGATAGAATCGCTGGAGTCTTTATAAAAGCATTATATTGAGGATCTTTGTCAATCAGTTCGTCGAAGACGGGAAAGATTGAATAAAGTTGACCTGGTAGATTAGTCCAAGGATGAGATGAAGCCATGATGGAAAGGATCTTATCACAATGACGAAAAGGATGAACTGGTAGAGAAATAAGATGAGGTTTGATTGAAGGTAAGTTATAGACTTATAGTTGACTTATTTGTGGAACTTACAACTATATTGATGTCACCTACCCCGCAACAAAAACATACCACTCATGCCCTTGCACAACTTGACAATGAGAAATATATCCTTTCCTAGTCGGGCAATTTGGAAGCTGCCCTTAAGCTAGATAGGAAGTATGACTACATTAGTTCGTGGACATTGCTTGTGATAAGGATATTCCCGACTGGCCTATTGAGACACAGATTTTCCTGAGCTGCTGTACCTATATAGGGTTACCTCAGCTAGAGGGATCACCAGATGGATACCATTTTGAATGCGTAATTTTTCAATGCTCTGCATCATCGTAGATTGTTCCTTCTTTCGAGAAGTCTCTTATAGAAAGCTCCAAGGTGGTAGGCACCTAGATGACATGTAGCTCATTGTTGACTCAAAAATCCTAACGTAGTAATCGCATAGCTTGCCACTTTTGAATGAATGGCAACATGTACAGGTACAGACTCCTCTGGAGATCGATATGATGAACCTTAGATAGCTAAGATCGGTAGAGATGGAACAAAGCCATAATGATCAGTCAACAAAAGAAGTCTAGCATGCTTTGATATAATCACAGGAGAGAGTTCGCCTGGGTGTTGGTTTTAGATATTAGAATCAATCCCCTTAGGATCCGATTATATACACCTAGGTACTTAGGTAACAGACGGGGTTGGAGAATGCACCGGAGAGAAGATGTAAGACTACCACATGGTCTGTGCGGAAGCTCATACACCACTAGATGTCCTAGCGGCCGCTAGAGGGAATTCCCCAAAAATTAAAATCCAAGATACAGGACGCGCCTAAAAATTAATAGAAAGTCGATTACTCCAACAGTTCCCCGCCTCCATTTTGCACTTGTCAATATATCAACAAAACTTACGAAAATAATTCGAAAGAATATGCTTCAGAAATCATGCTAGGTTGGGCCAAAGGACTGTTCTCCTCGCAGGTTGAAATCAATAATTCACAAGCAGATCCGATAGAAGATCAGCCTGCTAAGATAATTGAAGGTTGGTCAAAATTTTGGGTTATTTGCTTTTGTGAAATCTGAGATTGGTCACATAAGACCCCAATTGAACTTGACAAAATTGATCTTTCTATGGTTAAACTGATTATATTTCCAATTTAGGACCCAAAACAGAAAGCTCCTTCCCTAGAAAAGGATTTGGTCATGGAAACTCCGAGGGAGCTCAAACCTGGTGGTATGGAGGAACTCAATGGTACCAGCACGAAAAAATCTAAGAAGGATAAGAAGAAGTATAAGAAGATGGGTGGATCAGCGAGTGTTTTGCAGAGAGGATATGAGATTGCCAGCAGCCAAGGAGGCGCAGAGGATATCGGCACGTCAGAACAAGATTCAGCTATTTTACCTACGCCAGCTTCGGAATTGAGCGGAAAGAAGGAAAAACGAAAACGGCGAAAATCTCACAGCAATGTTCACACTGAGGACCCTCATGAAAATGGACAAGCGGCAGGCTCAGAGGCTTCACCATCTGAGCAAATTGGGGAGCAAGATCTTGCTACAGCGGAGTCTGAGTTGGTCAATTCTAAGCACTCAAAATCGAAGCAAAAGCGCAAACATCGGAAATCTCGCCAAGAAGAATTGCAAACTGAGGATGAAGGTTATCCCCTAGTTGAGCCCCTCGCCGCAGCACAATTAGCAGACATAGAACAGCAAGAGCGCGAAGCCGAGATGCCGGAGGATTCTATCGCTCAAGAAAGTACAGCCATTCATTCGGACTCGAAAAAGAAAAACCAACGCAAAAAACAAAAATCTAGCACATCACATTCTACAGCACTAGTCGAAGAAGAAATCCTGCCAGAGGAAGTGGAAGTTCAGGCAGGCTTGACCCATGGGAAGGAAAAGTCTAAGAAGAAGAGGAAGTCGGAGTCGGAGAAACCCACTTCAGTAGGAGCTATTGGAACAAACGACGAGGGTCGTGATCAAGATGAAATAGGAAATTCAGTCGAAAAATCCACTTCAGATGTATTGAACAACCATTCAGCAGAACAAATACATCTTTCAAAGTCAAATAGTGGGGAGAGAAAGAAATTGATTTATGTTGAAGAACCGGGCGCGGAAAGTAATATTCTGGATAAACCCATACTCCCACAGGCAAAGGGCAAAAAATATATCACGAAACCAAAAACTTCTAAAACCAGCCGACCAGAAGCTAGTGATGCAAACTCAGCTGCTCTCTTAAATCAATTCACTTCTGCTCGCAAGGATCCCCAAGCGGAAGCAGAACCAATTATACCATCTGCAAAGGCCCTCGGAAAGAGACCTGCTGTTGACCAGCCAGTTGAGCACCAGTCGAAGAAGAGAAAACAGATTGATTCGGACTCTAGAAATGGTGATATACGCTCAATGTTTTCGGACGATGCTCAACATAAAAGTTCAAAAGTAGCTGCATCAAAAACAAAGCAAAGGGCAAGACTATCTGCATCGAACTTTGAAGTGTCTATCCCATCCCCCGCGGTAAAAACAAGTCGTTCCGGGACCGAAGAGATGGCAGCTTGGACGGCTAGTGATAAAAGATGTGCATCTTCTGGGAATGGTAAAGACTCCTCGGATGATGGTTCAGAATTTGAATTAGAGCAACCGTCAGATGAAGCACAAGTTACCCGTCGAAAGAGGTATTTGCCCGTAGACGAGCCCTCCCTAGTGGAATTAGGGACATCTAAATCGGGTAAAAAGCCAAAACAGCTAAAACCCGAAAAATCTTCCAGCACAAAGCCCGGCAAGGGCAAAAAAGAATCTTCCAATGGAGTTAAACCAAAACGTAGCAGAAGCCAATCTGTGACGAGACCGAAGGACGGGAATGGAAGACTCAACGAGGACGAGACAAAGAGGATCGCAGATGCCGTGGAGTTCTATCGCGCTGATAATGATTTGGAACAGCAAGCTGTCAACGTCATTATCCAAGGAAATGCTATAACCGATGGAAAGAAATTCTGGGATTTCATGACGGAGGAAGTACCCGATGTTCCCAAGCGAAACCTGCAGAGTTGGTGTAGAAGAAACTTTCATAACTACGCAGCACGAGGTGTTTGGACTACTGAGCAAGATGAAGAATTGATGGAAGTCTTCAATAGGATGCCCAAAAAATGGTCTCTCATCGGTGCCGAACTAAACCGTCTGCCTGATGATTGTCGTGATCGATGGAGGAATTACTTGTCTGTTACGAATCTGGAACTTGGTCCATGGAAACTTCAAGAAGAACAGCAACTCAGGGATGCCGTGAAGAAATGTATCGAACTCATTCGCGAGGATAGACGTCGAGACGGATTGCTCAAACCTGAGGAGGAAGATGACGATACTTATCATGAATATGATATCAGCTGGATGAAAGTCAGTGAACTCATGGACCTTTCCAGGAGTCATCTTCAGTGTTATCGAAAGTGGAAGTCAATCAAAGCAAGGGAGCATGCTACAACGGACGACCTTATTGCAGAACGTATTGTGATTAGCAATAGCTGGAAGAATCTCAAAAATTACCAGGAGGCAACCAAGTCTCTAGCGGCGGAGAAACTACAATTTCTAAAGGCGATCCGTGAAAGTAAAGCAGGAGCAGAGAGTAAAATTGATTGGAGAGCGATTGATGAGAAGCTCGATCGAAATCACGATGCTATGGAAATGAGAATTTGTCTTCGAGGTTTATTGCAGAACATTACAGGTCACACTAATAAACCCCTTCAAGAAAACGTTAAGCTACTCATACAAGCTTTTGAGGAATCGGCACCACATGAACCTGAAGGTTATGTTGACCTGCCTTTTGAATCGACGGGTCTCAAAAAGAGAACCAAGAGATCAAAAACGAGTTCTCTCTTTGAGAACAATCCTCAGCTTTATGATGTTGGTGGTAGCAATTCCAAGTCTAAAATGAGGCATCGTATGCTTAATAAAGACGAATCTCTAGGGAATGGGCAACTTGATACTTTCCAAGTACCTGATTCTGCAAAGAAGGCCAAACGTGCAGCCGTTGTCAAAAAGCCAACTAAAACGTTTGCATTGAGCACTGAAAGGGTCATGGATAGCGAAAGTGATGAAGATGATGGAGCACCAACGAGTGCACAGAAGCCTAGGCCTGAAGAAGAAGAGGATGATGATGATGATGTTTCAGAAGTACGGGCCAAAACAAAGCAAATTTCACTGAAGAAGCATAGTCAGCGGGTGGCCAAAACGGAGATTTTTGAAGATAGTAGTGACGATAAGCAAGAAAACCGCCTCGAATCCAATTCCAATTCCAACTTAGAACCCGAGGATGTAGAAAGGGCCGATGCACAGGACGATTCGGACAATCAAGTTTCCGATATTGAAACTTCTCAATCCACTCAATTCAACCTTGGGGGCAATGATTCGAATAGTAAGAAGAAGAGTCATTCCATTAAAAAGCAATTGTCTAATCAAGATGCGAAAACGGCTTTTGATAATTCTGGATACGATCACCCTCCCGTTGACTCTAGCGATGATTCCGAGATGGAAGATCCAGATGAACCACAAGTCCCTGCTACACCGGAGTACGAATTACAAGAAGGATATAGCGGCATAAGAGAACAAAGTGCGGATCTTGATGACTCTGGCCAAAATTATGGAATGAGTGAAGATGAAGTTGAAGATGATGAAGAGAGTATCATGGACAATATGTCTGATATTCCCGCCAAAGTCGTCAAGAAGAAAGCACCTAGTGTTAACGGAAAGAGAGATGTATATTTTGGCAAAGATGCGAGCGTGGACCTAGATCAATAAATACAAAGTGATTAAATGGGCGGAGAGAAGTTCATGGGAGTATAGAGGTCCGACTTAGAACATATAGATTGTTTGTTCGTTAGCTTAGGAGCGGAGGATACCCGGAGAATATAAATTTATCATTTTGAGGAGTTAATGGTGTGTTATGTCACTATGGTATTTTTTTCGATGGTATAGCGTATTAAGACTATGTTGATGAATATTAAATTCAGTAGTTAATTGAGGGGCATTTATTGATTAGACGAGGAAAGCGAGCATATATATGTATATAGAAGATAGACTGTCAAGTTATGATTATTAAGTAAATATAAATAACGTGGTTTATCAGCGAGTCGCCACTATCAGCGAGTCGCCACTTTTTCACTTATTCAACCACTTTAAACTTATTTTAATCAACAATTATTGAATCAATTGATTTAAACTATTAAGAATCTAATAATCTAGGGTCTATTATATTATTAGAACAAGTTCTTGAATTGTGACCAGTCTTTCCACATTTACTACAGCATCGATTAGTAGATGATTCCCCATTGGAATTTCCCCTATTTTGACGCTCGTCGCGTCGAATCTGAATATCCACCTCTTATTGTGATATTATATCTATAGCTTCCTGACCAGTAAGTACTCCTTCTTAATGTAATTGAGTTTTTTTAACATATCGACGTTTGCTTAATGCCTCATTTGCCTTCCGAAGCATACGAATCTCTGTACTTAAGAGTGTATTCTTATGAGCTAGTCGTTCTGTACCCTTAGCTAATACAACTACAGTTTCGAATATAGGTATAGGAGAGCTTGATTGATATCAAACAATTCGAGATTTCACTAAAGTTGATTGTAAAAGAGCTTCAGTTGGATTGTGAGGTGTTTGAGAGACCCAAGAGTTGGCAGATTCCAAAAGGATCGATGGAGGGGTAGGTGTGCGAATTCGAATATCTAATTTCGAAAGCACAGCTTGAAGATCAAATGGTATTAGTCCTGCTCCTCGAAAGCCAGCTTTCATATTCTGAATTGTAATCGATTGTTGATATACAGCTTTGAAAGCTATAAAGAATTCAACCTTAGAAATATAATTGATATATGCCTTGATAAACTCATCAACTTGACAATTATATGAATGTTTGAGTACGCTAAAACATCCAACATCAAGTGGTTGAGTTAAATGATTTGAATACAATAGTAACTTTACATATATAATGTCATTTGACTTGCAATATAATTGGAAAGGTATCGATTCATAACTTTTATACCTATCCAATATTAACATTCGATATTTGCCCTTTCTTCGTTGATTAGTATATTTATCAAAGTACTTTAACCATTCTAAACCTATCTCATTATTCGTCTATCCATTAGAAGTAGGTTTAATAGCCCAATCCACAGGAAAATCGGTTTCGGTATACCAATTGGAAAGATGAACTTGTCCTTGAACTATCAGAAATGGAGGTATAATTTCACCCTCTCTATTACCACATATAATTGCCGTAGCCCATTCTCGATTACCTGATTGTATTGTCTTGTTTCTGCCATTTCTTTCAGAACTAATTACAACTATACAGGCAACTATAATCCCTATCATGAAGCCTGTTTCGTCGAAATTGTAGAAATTGCAATCCTGAATACCATATTTCGCTCGTATATTCAATACCATTTGAAACCATCTTTCAATAAGCTTAGGATCTTCGCAAAGAGCTCTTTGAAAATCATAAATACAATTAAAACATATCTTTAATTCCATATGATGCTTTACGAATCGATGAGCTTAGAGCTTTCCAATCTTCTTTGCCCCTCGTGACTGAAGAATATAATTCGCCATATCTTCCACATCATTTAATTTAGGTGCAAACCCTCTATCATCTATATCAATTATATATTGAAGAAGCACTTTCTTTTCTAATTCAGTTATTTTATACTTATTTGCTCGAGTTTCCATTTGGTTATTTCGATCGTTGATTCTATCGCGTAGTGTAGATCGAGGTACTGAATAGACTTTCGCAGCTTTTGTAATTGTCAAATTTTTAGACTTTCGAATAGCTTCAATAGCTAAGATGATTCGGGCTTCTTTTGATTGTGTTTCCATGATAATTCATTGAGATATCGCGAATTGAAATTGAAGTGGTTAAATGGTGAAAAAAGTGGCGACCCGGTGATATTGGCGACCCGATGATAAACCACGTTAACGTGTTTCATCACCCCGTGCACCATATCACCTCGTGCACCACTTTCACCTCAATTCACATCAATCACTTCAATACGCGATTTATCAATAAATAATTATGGTATCGACATTAAATGAACGCGATATCGTTATGGCGATGGAGGCGATGGAGGCAATGGCTAAAGATAAAAATTTAAGCCTCTGGAAAGCTGCCAAGATTTACAATATTACTCATACGACACTCATGCGTAAAATGAAAGGGATCACTCCTGCCTCCGAATATCATCAAAAACAGCATAAAATTACTAAAATTGAAGAGGAGGTTATTATTCAGCATATAATCGATATGGATGAGCGAGGATTTAGTCCTAAATTCATAAGTGTTGAAAGTATAGCGAATCACATTCTTGAATCGAGGGGTGGAAAGTGTATTGATAAACAATAGGCATATCGATTCGTGAATCGATACAATATTCTAAAAACGTGTTTTAATCGTGCTTACAACTTCCAAAGGGCTCTCTGCAAGGATCCTAAGCTTATTAATAAGTGATTTCAATTATTCAAAAATATAAAGGCAAAATATGGAATACAGGAATGCGATATATGGAATTTTGATGAAACAGGCTTTATGATGGGAGTGATATCCTCTAGTATAGTTATTACTAGTGCAGATAGACGTGGCAAAAGTAAAGGAATACAGCCAGACAATAGAGAATGGTCGACAGCGATTGTATGTGATAATGCGACAGGGGAGAACATATCTTCATATCTTCTTGTTCAAGGACAAATGCATCTAGCCAATTGGTACAGCGAGACGGATATACCTCCCGAATGAGTGGTTAAAACTATTATAAATGGATGGACGAATAATAAGACGGGTTTAGAATGGCTAAAGCATTTTGATAAGCATACGAAACTCCGAACGAAGGGTGCATATCGAATGCTAGTCTTAGATGGATATGAAAGCCATGAATCAGGCCCTTTTCAGAACTATTGTATAGAACATAAGATTAAAGCTGTCGGATTACTACCTCATTCAAGTCATCTCACCCAACCTCTTGATATTAGTTGTTTTAATGTACTAAAACACACATATAGCAAGCAAATTGAGGGGTATATACGGATACATATCAATCATATCTCCAAAGTCGAATTCTTTATAGCATTCAATACTGTATACGAACAAGCAATTACAATGGAGAATATAAAAGCAGGCTTTAAAGGAGTAGGATTAATCTCTTTTAATCCCGATACTGTATTCTCTAGAATGGATATTCGAATCTGTATACTTATTCCTTCTTCACTTCCTCCGAATCATATGCCCGATTGGATCTTACAAACACCTCACAATGCTACCGAAGCTCTTTCACAAGCATTTTTAGTACGATCTATTATTGCTCGGTATCATTCTAGCTCTCCTACACCTATATTTAAGGCTACAGATCCTTTAATTAAGGGTGTAGAATACCTAGCTAGTACTGTCACGATTTTAGCTTTTGAGAATCACGATCTTCGATTGGCAAATACGGGATTAAGTAAACGTCGACGTGCTAAAAAGACTCAATTACGTTTAGGAGGAGCTCTCACTATTCAAGAGGCTAATGATATTATATCACAAAAAGAGGTGGATGTTCAGATTAAACACGATAGGCAACAAAATGGGCGGAATTCTAATAGAGAGGCATCGGCTAATCGATGCTGTAGTAAATGTGGAATAACAGATCATAATGCAAGAACATGTTCTAATGATAATATAGATCCTAAATTATTAGATAGTGCTTAGTTTAAATCAATTGATCAAGTAATTGTTGAATTATGTATGATTATAAATAGGAATTGAGGTGAAAGTGGTGCACGAGGTGATATGGTGCACGGGGTGATGAAACACGTTATATAAATGAAAACATTACAATTCTAAGATTTGACTCTTTTCGTTTTATATCTTGAGTTTTATGTTAGAATGAGTGAGGAGTTAATAATTTAAAGTTCTATAAGGTTGATACTTTGTAGGTGAAGTAATGTAATATAAGACTTGGTAAGAAATATTTTATTAATATAATTTATTTATTTTATTTTTATTTGTTTATTTATTCTATTTCAAATCTAGACTTACGTCTTTTATTTTCATCCGTTTAATTATAACTTTATAATAAAAATATAAATATAAAAAAACTAATTCATTACACTCTATTTCATCCTACCGCGTCTTAGAATTCTTTAATGAATATATATAATAATAAAATATATATAATTTACATGTAGTAAAAGAATATTTTAATCTTCCAACCCCTTAGATAAAAATATAAGAACCAATCTTTTTCCTAAAAGACAAATCGAAGGAATTCTGCCGAGCAAAGATACCAAGTACATTTATCCCACTGTAATTGTATTCTAGAAATCAAGCCAAGTCTATGATCATGAGACTAAGGTTATATCTATTTTAGGAGAATAATATAAGAAGAAAATGTACTGCTACTGTAACAAGTCTGTGACATAGCAAATCGTATACAAACTCTATCATAATGCTATATGCCTCGTACAATGATAATAACATAATAATAATAAGAATACAAAAGAAATGCATACCTCAACACCAACTCTCTTACGGAGTATACTGCACCGTATAAAACAGTAAGTAACCTTTAATAAATTCAAAAGTCAAATTTTTGAACCAGTGCACTATTATATCATTCACCCACCCGGTGAACCTACCTTTTTATATTCTGCTCTGTTTAATATCTCAAGAAGAAAAAAGCCTTCCAAACTTTTAATAAAAAATCGAAATTGAGAATTGAAAATTAAAAAAGCCCAAACCCTATATATTTATACCATCCCGCAGAATAGCTAATATCAACAATAAAAATTTTCATATTAACACTATAAAATCTCTATCTAAACATACCAAACCCACAAAAGACTATAGGCAATCAGTCAGTCAAACAGAGAAACAGACACACACACAAAAGAATTTCAATAACCCAAAAATCCACACAAATCTCCATCTCTATCTATATCTCTACCCCTGTCTCCCATCCCTATCCATAAATCTCAGCAATCTCACTCCGATCCACTTAATCCACAACACTCCAGGACCAGGATTTCAAGATTTCAAGATTTCAAAATCAAGAAAGAAAGAGAGATTTACATAGCTTTTAACTTCTAACTCCTAAATACGAGTAAAGAGTAAGAAAACGATCGTTGGGAACAGAGATGAGATTGGTAAGTTAGGTGGTCGGTCGATAGTTTTAGTAAGCGAGCAGGTTTGATTTGGTAGGTTAATGGGGGAAATGGTCTTGATGGGAGGGGAAGGGGGAGGGGAAGGGGGAGGGGAAGGAGAGAAGGAGAGGGGGTGAAGTGTGAATATGTTATGGCTTTATGGGTATGGAGTATACTAGATTACGATTGCGAGGAAGAGGGGAAAGAAGAGAAAGAAGAAGAATATGAGAGATTGTGCATCACTGCTTGTCTTGGGTACGCTTGAGGGTGGCGACGGTAGAGGAGAATGTCAAGCTGGGAAGAGATAACTTCCTGTGCACGGAAATATAGGGTGTTGGTTGACGTGAGCACAAGGAGCTTATGTTCATGATGATGTGATAGTTAATATATTATGAAGTCTATTAATTCAATATGGTCCTTTTCGAACTTTTGTAGTAAGATTACAATGATAAAGCAGCAGGGCACAACGCCTTGAAATTCCCCAAATGCACAAAACCACGACTACGAATCCATCACTAATATTAACTTTAGGGTGTTACATGCCAGCATATAACAGGTACGAAATAATCGCCTCCTTTCCCCTCTCCAGATCGAAAACAGCGCAGCTCAACTTCGTCTAATGCTTGTTGAACAGCAAGAAATCAATTCCTGCCATAACCAAAAAGCGTCTTGCATTCCAACGAATAAGACCTGTGCGAAGACATCACCTTGATTTCGTCGACTCGGTCTTCCCTCCATCAGACTCAGAAGTCATATTCCTACGTAACATTTGTAACTGCGTGTCCAAAAGGCAAGGGGATCCCACGGAACCACATACGAAAGAGCTGTTTTGTGATATTTTTGCATTTTGGGCTCGAGCTTGTCGTAGATTGTTCTCATGCTCTAGAGATTTCAATTCTTGTTGGTACTGATTGACAGAATCCATGATCTTATCGAAAATGTCGGCTCAAAATTAAAAACTTGAAGTCCCTTTGAGAGCCCGGCAACCGATCGTTGCTAATTGTGGCTAAATGGAAATGATGTTGTGTTTCTTAGAAGCCGGCGGGGGTCGAAATTCTTGCAGGAATTCGGTGATTGATGGTACTGAACTGAGTACTGGCGTAAGTAAAGAGCTTGATAGAGACGAAAAAATGAATGAGGAAGAGTTTTTGAGAGTCTTGCGATGTGCTTGATGTATTTGTTGAAATGGGATAATCCGAATCTAAAAATAGATGTTGGTTGAATTTGGAACGAAAATCTCTTGATGGCGATTCAAGCAAAAGTGGATTGTTATTTACTCCAAAAAGAATGTGAATGAATGCTATGAGAATTTTATGATGATATTATGTGAATATATATCCTCATGATACTCAAAGTTTATGCTTGCTGACCCTGCTCTAACCTTAGCGCCAATTCTCGTGGGATGCGATGAAGCATTCCTCTGCATTCCTCTGTTTCGTCAATTAGCCGCTTGTCTCAAAATCTTTGCCGCATATTGATCTACTTTTTGGCAAAAATGCTTACTTACAATATTCCGAATAAACACAGTAGACTAATGTATGTCTAATTTAAACTCATAACGGGTTCCAACCTGCCGTAAGCCGCGAAACTCCTATTTTGTTCCAGAGCCAACAAAACCGTGTGACGTTATCACAAATATAGGGCAGCATAGAGCATACCTTGAAGAATTCCAAAACAAGGCTTACTGAGCTTGTCTCAAATATTCTTTCTTCGGCGAGGCTTCGCATCTTCGTTGTCATCTTTCTCCACAAGCATGACAGGCTCTAATTGTTCAACTTTTGCATCGCCACCAACTACCCAAGTTTTCATTACCTCCTTGACCTCTTGTAGCTTCTTTGCTTGCCCCTTGGCTTCCCCAACCCGTCTGATGTAACCCATATAAACCACCACTTCGGCAATTCCGACAAGTAGACTACCACTCATACTCAAGGCCAATCGAGCTGGTGTGCTCCACCACCTTGCAGCCATCCATAGCCCAAACGCACAAGCAACAATAGATACTATTACATTAAATATAACAGCAATTTGTCGGTCAATATCCGCATATGTAACGTCATCATCCTCAGAGTTACCAGGTTCTGGAAAATTTGCAGTGAATGCATGAGCGGCAGAGGCAGATGGGAATATTTGTGCAAATGTCTCCATAGGAGGTGGTGGATTTATCATTCGTTCGTATGTTCGAGCTTCTTCTTCACGTCGAAGTCGTGCCATTAGAGCTTTGTATTCCGATGTCTACAGACGTTGAATATTAGCTTAGATACCGTTAGATTTCCTGGAAGGGATATTGTGTATATGATCAGGTGAATAAATTTATCAAGACCATTTTAGACAACCTTGGGAAAAGAATGGACAATGGCAGATTGTTTGATTGTGACTTACAGGCTCTGGCTTTGGTACTGGGGGTGGAACATAAACACGAGAACCTCGCAATAATAACTCCAGAGTAAGTGATGAAAGATTCTGCTTGTTTATGTCTTGCCAGAGATCAATGATTTGACCATGAGATACGGGATTCCCAATTTTGGGATTTGCTAGTAGTGGTTCCTGCGATACCTTTGGATTTCCAACCAACTTTGAATCACCCGTACTAAACGTGGGCACATTCTGCTGAACTGGCAAATCAGTCTGGTCACTATCCTCTGTCAACTTTGCGTCTCTCTCTTCTTCTCCTATCTCTTTATACTTTTTGCTCAGTTGGGCTTCGTTTTCCTGGGAGGTTGTCAGGTTGCTCTCTTCGATTTCCTTTTCCATTTGCTGTTGACTAGACAGCTGTGCGGACTGTTCATGAGAATGAGAGGTTTTGGCTTCATGAAGGGTCTGCAAAGCTTCGACTATAGTCGCCGTCATAGTAAGAAGAACCATTTTCGCATCTCATCAATTAACGTAATGATGATATTACCCACTAAGCTCAGATATTCGTGAATGCTTCAAAATAAAGTTGCAGCCAGTTCTCGAAGCTTATCGGCAGAAGTTGCTTATCGGCATCGACTTGTCCGACATTGGTCTAGCCCAACCGAAATATTTATCCTCGGAATCTTGCGGGGATAATTTTTATATGCCCCTACATTCTTTCTTATTAATCCAAATTAGCAAGCACACTCACGGTCATTTTTGATTTCGACGCAGTTACTGGAGAATTGGATGCTGGGACTATCTTTGCCTGTGAACTAAATCTGTTATCCGGTCAAAGTTGGGGTTTCACAGGTCATGAGGAATTATTCGACGAGGGCTACGAAGCTCTTCCCCAGCTCCCCTACAGCCAGAACCAAACTCAATGGCGCATGTTTTCGGTGCCAATTGACTAGTACGATATCGCTACGACCTATACTTCCTCAATCATATCATCATCGAACCACGAGGCGGACACAATCGACCTGGGCGCAGGCAGTATCTGTGGCTTCTAATGTATTCTCAAATGCCACAAACCGGTCGACAGCAGGAGGCAACTCCATAGACCCTTTACGAATGGTTGCAAAAGAGATGAAGTTTTTGACTGGAAATATACGGCAGCTCCTTGGATCTGGGCATCCTTCTCTAGATACTGTTGCGAAATACTATACACAAGCTGAAGGCAAACATGTACGACCTATGATTGTACTACTAATGTCTAGAGCTACTGCCTTAGCGCCCAAGTCTCCCAACCATAACCCCAATCAAGAAATCGCGGATATAGACAACCCCATATCGCCAACTACCATTCTCTCGGATGTCAATCCTACCGCGCCTACATTAAATCCTTTGGCACATGTGCCTAGAACGTATTCGGCAGCAGAAAGCGATATACTTCCCTCCCAAAGGCGTCTGGCTGAAATTACAGAGCTCATTCACACTGCGTCCCTTTTACACGACGACGTCATTGATCATTCCGTCTCGCGGCGAGGTAATCCATCTGCCAATCTTGAATTTGGAAACAAAATGGCGGTTTTGGCTGGGGATTTCCTGTTGAGTCGTGCTTCGGTTGCTCTTGCACGTCTGCGTGATGCAGAAGTTACTGAGCTACTTGCTACAGTCATTGCGAATCTCGTTGAGGGAGAATTTATGCAATTGAAGAATACTGCGCAAGATGAGAAAAACCCTGTTTGGACCGAAGAAACCATCTCTTACTACCTACAAAAGACATACTTGAAAAGCGCAAGCTTAATATCAAAATCATGTCGAGCGGCGGCTTTACTTGGAGGATCAGATGCTGTTACAGTTGACGCAGCATATGATTATGGTAAAAACTTAGGATTAGCATTTCAACTAGTTGATGATATGTTGGATTATACAATTACCGAGAAAGAGTTGGGAAAACCAGCTGGCGCCGATTTAGAACTGGGTCTTGCGACCGCACCGTTAATATTTGCGTGGAAGAACAATAGGGAATTGGGTTCCTTGGTGGGAAGGAAGTTTTCTCAAGAAGGGGATGTCTTGCGGGTAAGTTTCCCCATAATGAGTATCCTAATGTCCATACTAACATAACCACAGGCAAGAGAATTAGTGCTACAAAGCGATGGCTTGGAGCAGACTCGTGCCTTGGCCGAAGAGTATGCCAACCGAGCCATTTCTGCAATTAGTGCATTTCCCGAGAGCGAAGCCAAAGATGGTCTGATAGAAATGGCCGATAAAACTTTGAAACGAAGGAAATGAATAAAATGTATTAAAATGAAGTTTTAAACTTGTATCAATGATATCATAAATCCTGTATTGGATGGGAAGCTATTGTACTTTAAGAAAAGCATTCAACTCGATGGGAACTCCATAGATGGGACCGGAAAATGAAAATAGACAATTGATACCTGCAGGAATTTGGAACATAGGTAGAAGACTCGCCAGGGATTTGTTGTGCAAAATCTGTGATCTGCACCTTTCCTTGTCCTTCTGCTAGTATGATTCGAAAAGACATTGAATTCCCGATAAAGGTGTTCACCAGTGTCAGTAAGATATGTGCAGTTTGAACATTCACCACCGATCGCTCAGCCGAAAGGCTGGGAACTATAAGAAATGCCCAATACACTTGCATGAACTAGTCTTATCTCCTAATCATGACCTTTTAAAAGGGGAGAAGATAGTATAGATAGCATCAAGACTGTGTTTTATCGCAGCTTTGAAAGACTCAAAGTTTTGGCTGGATAAGCATCTTTGCATAGGTAATGGATATCGATCTTTCACAATATCAAGTAAAATCCCTTAAATACCATCGGCATTGTACCCTCCGGATAGAAATAACCCCGCGGCGGGATTCCGACGGATACGGTTTCCACCCGTCAATATTTTCACGGATATTGTCTTTCCGGTAGAGTGATGCATACCCTCAGCCTCAGCCTTCATTGACTTTGCATTATGGTATCGTAATTGATACTTTGCTAGGTCATCTTCTTATCTCCTGGTTTAGGAGGCAGGACTTGGGGAACTTGTGGAGCAATATTATAGAATGTTGCGAGTATTTATATTCCGTGTTACCATCTATTCGTATATTTTCTTTTACCAGTTTAATTTTTAATCGTTTTGACTATTTTTTATATTATGAGAAAGGGACCCTGTGAAATGAAAGCACAAAGACTTTGCGCTTGTGTGATTACCTACTCGTGGTAAGTGTTACATTGTGTTATCATTTAGGCGCAATACTTTAAATCCTCATTTTATTTATAATCTTTAATAATAATAACCTGACAAGGAAAGGTTGAGAAGGCTTTAAGCAAATAATGAGAATTGATCTGGATCATCTATTTTATTCTTCAATTCATCTTCCGAGCTCCAATGATGAAAGATTCATACATTTGTCAATCCAATGTGGAAATGTCAATGAGGTTAATGATTGATGAAGTTGACAACTAATATTAGTAAGCTTGGTGCTCGGACCACCACTTTAAGTAGCGTGTTCTTCATAATCTCTATCAAAATTAGTCAGAACGCGTCTTCCCAATTCTCAATATATCATGACCACAAGGTACATTATCACAAAATTTCACTGCCACCACCCGAACTAACAATGGAGAATCAGTCAAAAAGGTATCAGCTCACTTATTCACTTAAAAAGGCACAGCAGCTAATTTATCCCTTCAAGAAAAAGTAATGCTACCATGCGAACTTATTCCAAACGCACTAGAGGAAGCAATCAGAATTTCCCTATCAAGAGACAACGTGTTGATTCTTCGGAGTTTGTGTCGGTTTCTTCTCCAGCTCTTTCTGAGTCATCTATACCTCCAGAGAGCCATTCTGAGGATAAATTCGAGGAGGAAAATCAATCTTCTCTGCTCAATTGTCCTTCGCAACAACTCCTAGAGGATATCAAAGATTCTTCTTCAATAAAATTACGCGTTTTATCTCATAGATCTGACGGATCTATCTCTCCTCTGGCTGAGCTGGAGTCAAATGATCAAAATCGACGCGATCACGAGACCAGTCCGTCCAATTCACCTGATATTTTGAATCACAAATCTTTACCGAAGGTCAAAGGTGTCAAACTCAGTTCTACTAAAGAAATCTTAAATTTTGTCCCCGCAAGAAGCTCTAGTTCTATACTGCAGTATAATAAGGAAAGCATTACGTCAGAACCATCTTCCTCAACTCAAAATCCAAATTTTTCAATAAGGGGAAATCTCGCTTCGAACCACACTAGTATTGATCTAGATTCCTTGCAGAAAAATACACACAAGAATACAACCTTAACACCAAAAGAGATTCTTGTTACATCCTTGTCAGATATCGCACCCACAGAAGGTGCTATTGTTACTTCAGAACCCCATCTAGTGGAGACAATCAAGAAATCTTCTATTCGGAACTACTTTAAACCAATACCCCAACCACAACGGTCTTCGAGTCCTTTGAAACCTCAGTCTCCCGTACTTTTAGATTCCCCTCAGCAGCCGATATCATCTCCACCTTCGTCATCTCCTCCAATACCTGAGAATCCACTCGTATCAACGAAGTTAAAACCCGTTCGTCGTCGCATTAGTACGAAACCGAACTTACCGAATATCAACACCATGTCTGACATTCATGAAGGTGATTTGCAAGAGCTTGGCGGTGATTTTACGGATGATTCGCGAGTTGAAATGATGGAACGTTATCATGATGCTCAAGATATGAGAGATCATGCCATCATCGACCATGGTAGTCTTCTCCCTCTCGCTGATCAACCCCTCGACATCCCAGAACGGGCAAAGCTCAAAGCCGATATTGCTCGACCAATGGGTTTTGCCCTTCATCAACAAATTCTAGATCTAGGCCAATCTTTCCATAATAAGTGTCAAAACTGCGGTATGCAGTACGCTATAAACGTCGCCGCTGATCAACGACTCCATGATAACTTTCACAAGATCTTTCGCATGGGCGGACCTACTTTTAAGCCTAAATATTTCAATACCCAAACATGGCAAAAGGTAATTGAAAGCGAACTCCACAGTATTCAATGCATTAGCTACAAAGAATCTAGTCCTATCCGAAATCTCGTAGAAAACATCTTGGAAGCCACCTTAATGGATATGGATGGCATCCTACCAAAATCCGAACAACTCTGGTCCATGATAACCAGTCCGAACGACTCCGAAGATCTCATCCCCGTCCCCCGCTACAAGGTCTTCCTCTACCTCATCGGCGCCCGACCAATTGGTATTCTCCTCGCTGAGCGAATAGGCAAAGCAAATACCATCACGACCACGACCCAAAACTTCAAGAATATCATCCCTTCCCCATGTATTAACACATCTATTATCCCTCCAGAATCCATAACCCCCATCCCACATGAGGCATACATGTGTATAGATCGACTATGGGTACACTCTGATTTCCGACGCAAGGGTATCGCTACCGCGCTGGCTAATCAGGCGAGAGAAAAATTTATACCTGGGCTGATTGTGGAGAAAGGGGAAATGGCTATTAGTTATCCGACTTCTGTGGGTGAAGTTTTTGCGAAGAGATATTTTGGGGGGGTTTTTGAGGGGGCGAGGTTTGCGGTTGGGTGAGGGTTTGTGAGGGGTGGGGGGAATGGAGGGGATGGAGTGGGAGGATGGAGTGGAAGGATGGAGTGGAAGGATTGGATTGGATTGGATTAAATCGGAAATAGAATGGGATGGTTTAGATATATAGTTATGCTTATGGGTATGGTTACGGGTATGATTAATGAGTTAATGAATAAATGAATAACGAATCAATAAATACATAAATCACTATTCTCTTCTCTCCTCTCCCTTCTCTTCTCTCCTCTCCCTTCTCTTCTCTCCTCTCCCTTCTCTCCTCTCCTCAAATCTACCATCAATAATAATCTACTCTTACAAAACCCCAAAGATCATCCACTCAACACAGCAGCCAATACACCCAATACAGTGCGCAATGCGCAGCTAAAATCCACAGGAATCATAGCCGTTTGTACATAGGTAACCTAGGTAAGATCTTAATCTCACTAATATCATTCAATACATTCATGATATCGATCGACCGATCATGATATTGAGTAAACTTGACAAATAATTAGATCATTAGATCCAACGTCTCATCTACAATATTTCCACATCCGCAGAATAAAAAATAAAAAAAGACAAGATAAATTAAAAATGCGAACAAATAAGTCTTACGGAAGAATAAATACTTAAACTACTCGAAAAACAAATTCCCAAATGCCAAATTCTAATATCTTAGATTCCAGAAAAACAGAAGACTGAACTAAACTTAACTAAACTACAAAAACAAGAAAAATTTCTCCAATTTATAAAGGAAATAAAATACTAATGTAAAGATCTTACAGAAATATACTGTACAAGATAAATAGATAGATTTTCGGAGCAAAGAAAGCGAGAAAGCGAGGAAACTTTAACGAATTGATTGATTTATTTATTTACATCTCAGAAGTATCCAGTAGGCTCCCGGGGAATTAGCTACTTGGTAATACTAGAAACAGTGTTCTCTGCAGGAGCTTTCTGTCAATTCTCGCGATGGATTTCCCAGATAGATGGGATTAGTGTTATTGTAATGAGGAGTGGGAGATTTAGAGATGGTATGGGAGATTGGGTGCGTGACGAGTATTAGGATCTGAGGGTTTGCAGGCTCGAGAGCTGGAGGTAATGGGTTGACGAGGATTTGAATCTTAGGGGGTGAGTGGGGTGGTAGGAGTATTTGGTTTTGATTTTTGTGCTGGCGCTTGAGTGGGAGGGTGAGAGGGTTTCGTTGTTGCTGGAAATGGTTTTTGTGTGTTGGGAGAAGATATGGTGACTTTAGGTGCCGGAGCAGGTGCAAGAACTCGAGGTATAGTCCAATGATTTGTTTGAGGAAAATGGTTATTCATAACCGCAGCCTGTTCAGCTAGAAGATCAAGAGCTTGTTGTTTACCTCCGAATAACTGGTTGATATTGGGATTGATTGAAGAATGGCCCAACTCTTTAGATTGTTTATCGTAGATAATTTCCTCGTTGTACATATTGCGTTTCTTGTATCGACGGGAAGGAGGCTCGGGTTTAGATTGAGGAATAGCTACTGGGCGGGGTTGTAGTAGTCGAGGCTGGGTAAGAAGATGGAGTGGATGGTTTGGTGTTGTTTCCATTGGTGAATCAACTAAGGTTAACGAGCGATCGTTTTCATATGCTGAAGAAACATTCGATTCTTCTTGCTCCTCAGAAGACTCTTGGATCGCTGATTTACCTCTGCTTTGTCTAGCTACTTGTTTCTTTCCCCTAGTAGATCTTATTGGTGGATGACCGTTCCGCTGAGGAAGTACACTAGCTTTTAATCTTTCCATGACTTCAATAGCATCCTGGGCACGGAAGTAACTAATTTCCTGACGTAACACCCAGTCAGGTCGTTGAGGGATCCGTCGATTCTCTCGAAGAGGCATAGAGATAGAAACAGCTTCTCGTGAAGTCTTATCATTACCCTGACAACGATAACGACGAGGAGCACCTGGAGTACCTTTTTCCTGCTCAATATTCCTAATCAGAGAGTTGTATTCGCGGGAAATTTGCATCCAATCAATATCCTTTTCACCGTCGAGATAATCGCGAATTAAGTTAGTGAGGATTTGTTGTTCCTGTACGGTCCAGAATTCCTTGTTATCATAGGCCTTTCCAATTGCTCTTCGTATAAGCTGACTTCGCCAGTTGTTTACTGCGTGGATGGATTTGGCACTATTCCAATCTACTTGGACACCCTTCGCATCATCAGAGTATTCGAACCTGACATCGCCTTCAACTACCTCGTTTGTGTACTCGTTGGTTTCTTCTGTCTTGAAACTGATTACAAGTTTGGAAGTATCTGGTTTACCTAGGACAGCGGGACTCCGGTCGGTCGTGCCGTCGTCGATGTAGCGAGCGCCTCGTTTACCTTTTGGAGCGTGTCTCTTATTGAGCTACATTTATCTTAGTATGATGTAAAGAGTAAAACAAGAATATAAACTTACTCGGTGTTTCTTCTCTTCCTCAGTTTCATTTGTCAAGTCGGGAGGTGGAGCTTTCTTCCATTGTATATAGCCAGGAGCGTGACCGGGGCTTAAAACGACATCGGAATCTTCTTCGATGGGCTCAGGAGTGGTGATAAAGGGCTTAGTGGTAGTGGAATGGGGTTTAAAGGCGAGTTTAAGTCTCTTAGGAGCGCTGATAGGTGGTGGGATGACCTGCTCTTGAGGCGTTGATGAGAGCTTTTCAGGTTTATCAGGCTTAGGGGCTTCTGTGATGACGGGCATGATGAGAACTTCTGTTGTTACCTACTCGTTAGTTTTCTTTTTAGAGTGTTTGAGGTAATGCTAGAATTGTAGAGAATCTGAGGAAAGGAAGGTAGAGAATCAATATCTCAAATCAGATGGCAGTCTTTGATGAGAATTTGGAAGTGAGATGAAAGAGGCGGAGTGGAGGCTCCAGAATTCCATCTATCTCGATAGTGAAATGGAAGTGAATACATAACAGGCTGAGCGACCAGCTGGTAGAGAGAAGTGAAAATAATGTAACGCTTACTCAAGTGGTCAATGGTGAGTGTTTTCTCTTTCTGTAAAAGATGACTTCCCGGTGCGGGGACTTCTAGTTGAAAAACAGTGAAATGCCTAAGTATAAATACTTTATTAGAAAATTTGTATTATGAGATGAATAAGAGTCCTTAAAGGGGCAAGTTGAGTTTTCATGCGTAAGGTAAGAGATAAAGAGAGGTGTTGACCTGCTTGCAGAAGGACTCGCTCTTACAAGAGATCTGGTAAAGCGTGAATAGCAATCTTCTGACGGTCAATACAAAGGAAAAATGTACGTGTTAAAGTGAATAATTGAAAGAGTTGTAGTGATTGATAGGGTAACCCGTGTTGTGAGGGGAGTATCTTGTGTGCGTCGCCTGGTGGAAGAGAAGTTGAATTTTTTGGATTCAACTTCTTATCTCATTTAGAAGCATGAGATTATTAGAAGACCGGATATCCTATTTTCAAATATTGTATAATATCTCTGATATAAAAGGTACTGGTAAGAAGAGGGGAAAAGGGAAACTCAACTTACTGACACTAGATCGGAAACACACTGGCTTTGATTCTGGATTCTCTATTCTCTTTTGTAAATAATTGCCAAATCACTCATCAAAGACCTCAATCGCTGGATAAGTGAAGAAAATAAGACCTCCTTAGCTCAAAGAACTTGTTGTTGAGTGAAGATTATCAAGTCCAAGGAAGATCCGAGCTTGTTATTATGAATCTAATTTCCTTATAAATTAGGCATAGCTTAGAACAGTAGAACCCTCCAATCACTTAAAGAACATATCAAAAACCATACAAGGCCATTCACATGGACAGTAATAAGTGTGATTAGACACGGCTGAGATGGAGGATAGTGAGGTTGAATGGTAGCCTTGTACTGTGGATAGAGCCTTTATCATCCGACCTCTTGACATCAAACAGAGAGAAAAGAGCTTTGAGATAATCAAATTCACTCTGTTTTGAACATATATGTATTAGAGATCAAGGGCTGTATCGTGTGAGACTCGAATATTACATGGGAATCCCCAAATACTTCAGTACATGAGACCTAACTAAAGCTCAATGTTAGTCTATTGGGCTTATCGCCTCGCGCAGCTGTCCATGAAGATCAAGCACATATGAAGTGGTCCCACGCACATTTTAATCTTTAACCTTGAGAACATCATCTCTTTTGTAAAGAGTAATGCTGAAGATTCCTGGAGACTATTTATGAATCTCTAGAATAGTCTTCCTCCAAAGTCTATCGATATCCTAGGACCACATCCTAACTTCCGCATTGAATCCTCGCATATCGGAACATTCCTAAACAATTATCCAAAATACTCAGTCCGCGGTGGAGAAAGGCTAATTGAATACCTATTCCTGTGATTAAAAAGTTCGGATTCTGATTAAACCACTAGCATTATATCCTTAATAAAATAAAGGTTTTTTTTGGGGAACTTTTTAAATCTTTATATTTTAAAAATGTATAATTTTGAAAAAAAAAAATAGATGGAAAATATTCAATTTAATTTTTATTAAATTTCTATACCTAAGTTGAGTAAATTAAGTCTAGTACCCCACTTCTCGGCCACCTCTAATCTCAGTCACTCTTTTATATCAAAAATCATGATTTTCATCTATTAATAACTTTTCAATCAATAAATATAATTCAATAAAATTGAAATCGTAAATTCTTTTTATAATTATAAATAAATGTCACGATTCATTAATTCACGTGACCTCGAGGACCTTTTGGACCTTAGGGTCCCAAAGGTCCTCAAAAGATGATATAGGGTATATAAACATTCATTTAGTCTCGTAGTTAAGGAGCTTTGTGCTCAACTTAGTTATCAATTAGTTTACCTACATTCTACTTGATCTAGTAACGACTTCACTTCCAAGTGAAGACCAGTGATAAAGCCTTGACCCACAACTACCAACCAGACGAAACCTTAGGCAGCCGCTGCCTCCAGTATAGTATCGTTACAGGAGCGAGGGAGCGAAGGAGCGAGATTCGAATCTCGCTCCCCAGCTCCATCGCTCCAATGTTGGAATACGAAGGTCTATATAATCAAGATGGATTCCCTTTGTATAGAGCTTCGTGCTCAAGATCAAGATCAATCATTTAGTATACTCTACTATTAGTTACGAATTGCATTATTGTCATTACTTTAAGTCCCTGCTTGACACCTAGTTATAAACCACCTCGAGAGCCTAGAGCACTTCCACGTGATCTAGACGGCAAACCTCGTAACATTTATATACAATCTGAAAATCATTAAAATTTGAAATAACTTTTTAATAAAAATTATTAAAAATAAATTATAAATAAAAATTATTAAAAATAAATTATAAATATTTTTTGGAATATATATATTATAATTGATCAAATAGATCAATTCATTTTGAAAAATAATTAGTAAATATCATTTAATTATCAATCAAATATTTTGTTATATAAATTTTATAAAGAAAAATATTCAATTAATAATAAAACAAAGATTACTAATTGTTTTTTGAAATGAATTGATCTATTTGATTAATTATAATATTTATATTTTAAAAAAATTTATAATTTATTTTTAATAATTTTTATTAAAAAATTATTTCAAAATTTAATGATTTTCAGATTTGTATATAAATTATATATAAATTGAAAATCGTAATTTCAACTTTCAATTTCTCGATGAATAAAATCACAAAAAATCCGAAATTTTTAGAATTTTGTGACGGAAAAGTCGTAAACGGAGTCAATTCAATCACTTAGAATCTAAAACTAAAGAACTAAGAAGATTCTAAGTAAGAAGGTCTTTATATACAGGGCTAGTGCACGTGAGCCACTAGTGGGTAACAACCGTCACGTAACAAATTTATTATTATATAAATCAAAAATCTATATTCTAAATTTCATTAAATTATATTCATAAATAAGAAAGTTATAAAGGTCAATTTTTGTTGTTTTTTGGTGTAAAAAGGTGGCCGAGAAGTGGGGTACTAGACTTATCTCGTTATTTTACAAAGGTAATCAAAAGAGCTCCAAAACCGATTGCGTATAGTACTAGACCACAACATAACATCAGGAAACTGACTAATAACCGAAGTCTGAGTACGATTTACTCCCATATAGAAAAGGATAGCATGGAGAGATTACTTTTCTGAACTACATAAGTAAATAGTACAGTATGATATGAGGAAAACTTGCGATAGCGATGAAGTTTAAATTGACACCACGAATTGGAAGTATACCTAGTCCATTTTAAGTTCCGTATCAATCATTATAGTAATAGTGATATTTATATAAAAAACAACTAAACTTGGTTTTCTTAGTAGATGCAATGATATGGAAATAAATGGGTTGTTTCCCTGCCTTGCAGGTTAAGAGAAGGAAGATATGAGGACTAAAGAAAGCTAGAGATTATAGAGGAATTTCTTCGAAAGGGAAGGTACCACTCGGTTGATCTCTCTTTATTATGATATTTTAACACAACTTAGATCCTAAAACCACAAGTATCCATTAGGATTCTATGGCTGATCTACCTAGTATTATATTTAACACCGCGAATAACAATTTCTTTTCGCTGCGAAAGTCGGATTCAAAGAAAATCTAATAAGTTCTTAACAACTAACCCTCTTCGTTCTTAGAAAGCAGTATATAGAACACGCGGTCATTATTCTTTCCTACATATTCATAAAATCAAAACCACAACCTATATTTAGCATTAGGATTCTTCACCCAACTTCCATCGATCTTCCCCTTAAAATAAATATTAAGCACCTCACCTAAAGTGTTCAACCTTCTTCTCCTTCGGTGCCAACCCCAATACATCTCTAGCCTCATATCTTGAACCCTCAAAGTCAAATTATAGAGATATGAACTAAAAGTACCGGTGGCCTCTACAACTTGCAGATATGCTCACTGGTAATGTTTGCATCTTGAATGGGATTATATGGCGGAGAAAAGAAACGCGACTTGCAACAGAAGAATTGTCGTGTACTCCTTGTAAGGAAGTTCTTGAGACGCAACGAAATACTAAGATTCAGCGCTTGATTTTTGGGAATCTCTGATGGGTTTTGAAGTGCGTTGTTGATGAGTAACAGATATATTTGAGCAATATTAAGGACTTGAATAAAGGCTTGAATATTTGCACCAGTAGATATGGTAAATCCAGGGTTTAGCTTGCTGATGGTGCCGAGAACTAGGGAGAGGCTTATGGGTATAGGATGCCAGGCAGTTAGGGAGAGAGCGTAGAGGATCGTTGGAGATACTATGGCTAGATGTGTATTTGGGGACACGGCATATACGAGCTGATATATTAGTATATTAGTAAGAAACTGGAGGGCGAATTAGAGAATATACGGCATCAGAAGTTGGGTAAGATTTAGTTGATGGAGAGGATTTTGAGTGTTTAATATCGGCTAGATCATCCCAGACTTTGGTTCCCGCTTGGGAATCCTCGGGTGAGTCCCAAATGAGTTCTGCTTCAAAGCCATGAATGTAATGTGCTTCGGAAGAGTGATGCGCTAATCCTGCAAAAATAGCTGGAATGGCTATTTCTTGCTCGACGTCGGGGCCCGCGTCCGAAAAGCAAGTTAGGAATTCATGTGAAAGGGCAAACTGGGAGAAGAAGATATAATTAAGAATCTGAATAGCCAGAGCACAAAACATAAAGGAACACATTCGGTTATGTGGTCTTGATCTTGTGTGCATAGTATGAGACGAGACGAACAATTTAGTCCAGCTTATTTAGTCTACAACACTACTTAATGTATATCAAAGCCTCCTTCGACATTGATAATAGGGACTACACGCTTTGAGACACCAAAAATTGTATACCAAGTAATAAGAATTCTAAAGCCTAATTAGATACAAAATGCTACCATTTACTAGAAAACATTTGTTTCGCTTGACCCAAACTTATCAAATCCTACGACCAAACTTTACTCACAGGTACCTCTCCACAAGTATTTTCCCTTTCTTTTCATCCCATACCAATGCCCTGATGTCAACATCCGGATATCTTCGATAGACAAGGTCTTAATTGCACCGCCGATATGGCCTGTAGCTTCGATACTACTAGAAATGTGTGTTCAATGTGGTTCAACATGGCAAAAGCTACCCCCGGATAAACTAGGAAACAGAAACTGGGGATTATTGACCTTCCATGAATATTTTCGTCATGTCTGATTTGATCGACAGTAGTATAACCCCCGGTTATTCCTTGGTGGGCGTTACAGAAGACAAATAATAATGAAAAGCTTCACAGTGGTTTTCTGATCAAAAGATGTTGTGGAATTAAACGTGCAGATTTTTTTATCAAGTTGGCTACACAGCAAGCAAACTAACCCCTCATTCGAGGAGATAAATTGGTGATTATATGTAAATAAAGCGGGGTGCTTACAAGACATGTAATAATGATGTATGCTTATGAACCTGCGTGACTGGACTTGCTGGACTTATGGATCATCGACTTGACTTTGCTTATAAAGACACAAAATTTGAAGGTAACATAATAGCATCAGCATCAACGTCAGCATCAGCATCATCCACTGATTATTTTGTTTGGATCACTAAAGCTCCGTGGAACAAGTCAGACTTCTGAGATCAGATATTGCAAATCTTCGTCGCTATTCTTATTCTTTGAATACAGCTGTCAATTGGATTGAAAACAAAATGTCAATTAACCATTTTGTTTTAACAATCATCGGCATCTACAATGACAATAGTTTACTCGAAGTTCCAACGAGACTTCCAGACGGAACTTCGAGAGCTTGATGGATCTCCATTTCCAGAGACAAATAGTAAAATGTGGTTAACGTATGAAGTATTCCAGGTTATCATTAATTTTAATTATTTTCCTAAGATGCAACCACTATCAAAATCAAAAACCAACCTTTGATCATTAAAAAAATAGGCTGTCGGCCGCTAAATTTTAGTGCCCGCGCACCTAAGCCACGATTACAAAACAACAGAAAGAAAGAAGATTGCATCTCAACAAGATTTAATATTCAGCCATCCTCTCACAATACACAGCATATAGCATGATTACGAGGTTACAGATATAATATCATCTCAAACTCCAATTATGGAATCCTTCCGCTATCGTTATATTGTTGCAACAAGTTGGAATGTTATTGCGTGCTCGTATACTCGTATACTCGTATATACACATATATACATGTATTCGTAAGATACATTCGTAACCATCATCTTACAAACCAGAGACATTCTCTTCAATAGATAGGTATTAGGTACCCATAAAAACCATGAATTTTCAGCTGACGATCGGCTTGCCGAAATCAATATGGTGCTACCGATACACTGGTCCCAAAGGAATGAAAGCCTGGTAAATCATGCTTCACCAGGAGCAAAACGGATTTTTGATCCTTGATCACGGAAAACAAAAAAGCCCGCCTACTTTTCATGGGTATATTATCCGGATTCAGTCAGCCACTGAGTGAGGCTAACGACAAGTCTAAGCGGAATTACACAAGTACTGTAACATCGTTCGCTGTGCCTCAGTTGTACTTCGGATAAAGCAAACCGCAGGAGATCAACTGAAGAGTCTGACAGGTACAATTTCAAATTGAAGTTGACTTGAAAGGTGGGTATCATCCATCGGAGACGAGTATGAGTCCGAAGGTAGTCCTGATTTGTTCATAGAAATGTAAATCTATCTACAGTTCCTTTAGGCAATTCCCGAAGCGGGTCCAACCGAATCCCAACACTCATGCCTCGATCTGGTACTATTGAAGTCATACCAGACTATTCGAAAGAATACAGTTGTGACCCACAAGGTGGATCTCATAAGGATGAGCGAGCATACTCCGTACTCATGGCTCAAGATTGGGCTCAACCGCAGAGACGCCGTTGAGAAGAGTGGAATGATTTTGATAAAGCCAATAGGAGATTTTAATGTTCCTGAAACAATGATTAGAGTTTTGATCTTCGAGCATGACCTCATTTGTCTCTGAATAGCTTCAACATTTAACTTCCAGTCAAAAAGCTTGTTCGCCGTCTCAGCCGGCGATCGCCTAACTGCTCAACATGGTATATATCATCTTTTGCTCTGTCTTATTTCCTTCGGTCTTCATGTTCAACGTTTTCGTTGATCTTTTACATTGAATCCATATTGATGATTTCCACTTAGAAGTAGATTGCTAGTGCGTATCCGTGACGGCTCAGAAATCCCAAGTACTCACAGATAAGATTTTATGCACGTGGGCTGCGCCTACGGACATCTCGGAAGTTTTTCACAAAACAAGCAACTTCTCCATGCGCAATGTGATTGATTGCGCACCTGTTCATGTAGCACTGCATCATGCAGACTAACCCAGCCCATGTTCACTGAGAATCTACAATGCCACAACTGCGAAACCACTTGATAGCCCCATCTTTGTACGACCTCAGATGACATCCACATCTAAAAAGTAATTAATTATGCTTTTCCATTCGAAGCCAAGTTTCGGCAGTTACTTACATCTCCAGATAAAGTGACACAAACAAGTGATCTGCGTACCGGAAGGAAAATTCCTGGTCAACGAAATGCGAAAACTCAACGGGCCGATCCATGATACAGGCTGATGATTTTCTTGCTTTATGCATTACATACGCGTTAACAAAATCATCTCGTACGAATAATATGGTTCCCCTTGATTTAGTTGAAATTTTTATCAACTGCAGATAGTATCTGCGGGCGCCGGCTCGAGGCATGTACATATTGATTTTACAGTTGTAAGAGCCGGGATGTCAGGAACTAACTGCAGCGTTGTGCAGGAACATCCTTGGCTGACAAGTTTAAAATTCAATAATGTATCAATACTCCCTACAGCTCAATCCTACCTCGGCCATAGGGGTTACGGATAACCTTACCCTTGAAAGTATATCCATGTTATAGATGTACCTTTCATACCTATGTACTAACTCCCTGAATTTCGGGGCTTCAAGAAGTCCTTCACTTACGAGGTCAAATCATCTCAATATCGCGATTCTACTACGGTCGTTCTGGTCACATACCTCCAAACAGACCTTCCCCATTCGATACAATCAAAACGTGAGACGTTTTATGTATTTTCCCGGCCGAAAGAATAGAGTAAAATATGCACAACACATTCTGTGGAAATACTATGCATCCATGCATCCATCCATCACGGACGCATAAGAAGCCAAAAACTTAAAGTTTAGGCTACTCCCGCGGCGGGGCGGTGGTGATATCATTTGATATTGATGAATGGACGCCCTTTCATGTCACAATAATAGCCATTCAAGACATACATATGTAGCATGTACATACAAAGTCCCTATACAGTACAAGGAAGGAAGTATACAACCGCCACTAATCCACCTGATAATACACCATCCATGCGTATCCCCCAAGTATGTACTGTGTATTCTGTACATAATATGTGTCAAAATAAGAATTCCATGGGCTGATCTCTCGTACATATGCGCATTTTCTCGTACGACTATTCCGGATATTCTCATTTTCTCATGTTCTTCTCATCTAGAATTCTTCTCCTCGTCTAGACATTCTTATTTTCAATATTCGTTCATTCATACACCCTACCTAGTATTCGCATAACACCTCACTCACTCACTCACTCAATCAATCATGTATCCGGGTCCGGTCCGCTCCGTGACCCTTTTCCTTCTCCGCTAGCCTCTAGGTAGGGAGGGTCATGTTACATCGCAGGGCGGGCGGGGCTGGCCTGGATATACTCGGATATGAAAATGATAGATGATAGAAATCTCTACAAACAGGGGATTTTCGGGGTCGTATCACTAGGCATACTATGGATGGAAAAGTATTTGATCAAGACTGGATAGATTCTTTAATCTTTGCAGATTTTTGGGTCGTAGACTCTTCGATGTCGTATTCGTAGAGGATCGCTTGGATTATCTTTATCTTTACCTTGATGACTTTTTTTTTTTGTTTCGGTGGGTTAAGGTTACTTGTATCATGTCTTATATTGTACATATGGTTTATGCATGTTTCGTTTGTTCGAGAAGGTAGTTGTTTATTTGAGTCATTCATTTCTGTCGTTTTTTGTGTATCTATGGGGAAATAATTTAGGGGTGCTGTAAGGTTGGTTGGTTTTAATCTGTCTTTATTTGTATAAAGCGTTTTCTCAACGACCTATTAATATACTCTAATCGATTATTCAATGCCAATTATTAGTATCCCATTCATATCCCATATCACTATACAAATATATATATATGTATGTATCAAGTATTATATAAATACACACACACACATATATATACATTTCCACCACCACACAGCACCACCTATTCCCTCCATATCCATGCAAACCACAACAGCATTCACATGTCCATGTTCATGTTCATATTCAAGTTCATGTATGTACCTCCCTCTCTCCCTCCCACACCCTCTCTCTCCATCCATCCGTCCATCCGGTCAATCTAGACCCACCCAAATGTCTCACTTACAAACATACATACATAACAAACATACAAAACACTCGTACCCCTACCCCGCAAAATCCACCAATAAAGCTTCTTATCCCCACGGTCACTCACTCTATCTATAATCTATCCTTCATCGATAGTATCTCTTTGATGCGTGCCGATATCTCCAATCAATCTTCAACCAATGATTAAACTTAGTTAATCATCAACTCATTTTTCTTTCTATCTTTCTTTCTTCAATGATTCGTCAGCTGGTGATATTGATATCGATATCGATGTAGAAATTACCCTATTAATATGTACTAGGTATGTATGTGTATATATAAAGCTCCTCTTCATCTATATATATATATCCTTATAATATTAATAATAACATCCAATCAATATCCAACCATCCTCTAGCTAATCCCCAACAAATCCTCAACTCCTACCTCTTCTCTCTTCTCTCTTTCTTCCCCCCTTCAAATCCCTCTAGAATACTACTGTTACGAGGTTTGCCGTCTATATCACGTGGAAGTGCTCTAGGCTCTCGAGGTGGTTTATAACTAGGCGTTAAGCAGAGACTTATATAATGACAAATAATGATATGCAATTCGTAACTAATAGTAGAGTATACTAAATAATTGATCTTGAATACGAAGCTTTATATAAAGGAAATCTATTTTGATTATATAGATCTTTATACTTTATAATTCGAAGAGAGCGAGAGGATCGAGCTTCGATCCTTTCGCTCTTCGAGTCCTCGCATCACGTGTTATTACTAATCCTGTGACCTAATTGTTACCTGTCGTAACAAGTTTTTTAGTTATAAATAAAAAAGATATTATATATATAAATGTGTGTGTGTGTGTGTTATTATTTAACGGCCAGAGGCCGAGGGGGCGAAGCCCCCCCATTCTCATGACATCCCCTCTTGGGGCAAAGGCCGCCAGGGAGTTACTCCTGGGTTTCTAATAGTTATATACATACTATTTCTACAGAGTGTAGTGATTCCTGAGCGCATTCCCATAGCTGCCGTGATCTTGATGAGAAATTAATCCTTCCTATTGGTGGAGGGATTACTTAGTATGAATTCTGCCGAGCTGCAGCCGGTCCGCCTAAAACCCCATGACCTTCTTAGCGCCTCCACAATTGATTATATAAGCTTTTTTTTTTTTTTTTCTTACAAAGGAAATACAGGTTTTATGGTCAATTTTGATTGTCTGTTAGGGTAGCTCTGCGACCTGGGGTCTCACAGCGAGTGAATGGGGCCCTTTAAGATTGGGGGGGGAGGGAGGTGGAGGGGACATATGTTGGTATAGAATCCGTTCGCTTTCGTCCAGTTTGCTAATACCTCAGCACCTTCGTAGGTACCGCAGAGGAACGGAAGAATATCGGCAGGTTTCCCTTTAGGCCAAGGGTGGTTTCTTTTGGCGATACTGCAGAAGAAGAAGTGTACTGGGGATTTACGGGCTCCACATCTGCAAAGCAGTTGTGCGTCTTGATGTAGGAAACGTTCGTGGTACGATGCGAAGTCTCCATGGCCTGAGCGGATAGCTATTAGGCGACCTAGGAAGGGTCTAGGGAGAGAGAGTTCTTTTGGGTTCCTTGGTGAGGTAAAGATCTCGAGGTCTCTGTAGGTTGTTGGGATCACTGTTGACCACAGCTGATTCATTGCTTTTTGCCTGAGTCCTTTGGTCACTCTTCTGAGTCCTGCATATGAGTAGGCCCCTGTGGGTTGAGGGAGGGCTGCCCCTGCCTTGGCCGCTTTGTCAGCCGCTTCGTTTCCTGCTACATCTTTATGACCAGGGACCCATCGGATATGGACTGTGCCATTGTGCCAGGTTGAGGCTAGTTGGCGGAAAGCCGAGAAGGTGTCCTGGGAGGATCCGGTAGATTTGGAGAGGAGTCTTGCTGCTACCTCAATATTATCAAGACAGATGTATATATCTGTTGCTATTCTCGATTCGATCGAGGAGATAGCGGCCTTGAGGCCTTCGAAAGCTGCGATCGCTTCAGAATCGTATACTTCCTTCATTCTTCCTAGTGGAAGGCTCCCTTCGCAGAATTTGTGGTTGTCTTGGTACCCTACGAAACCGCCACCAGTATTGCCGTTTGCAAGTTTAGACCCGTCAGAGAAGATAACGATATCTTCGCGAGGGAGTAGGTCATAGAAATCGTTGAATTCAGTAGCTGCTTCCTGTTTGGTACGGCTATTGGGGCTGTGAATACACTTCATTATTTCTGCTCTTAATTCATATTCTAGCCATTTAGGGGCTGATAGGGGATCGATCTGTTCCGAGGGCGGAAGAGATAGGATACGGCAGGCGAAACGGGTCTTGAAAGAGCCGGGGTCCTCTTGGATCCATTTAGCTCTCCAGGCGAGAGGGTGGTAGGGGTCCAGTCTTCTGGTTCTAACTGTTGAAGCGCGAGCTAGGTCGTCCAGTTCAATTTCAGGCGGGCGGAGTCCTGATTCACGGTGCAGTATTGCTATGTTGGTTGTCCTCCATACTGGCAGGATTGCTCTGGCACACTCTAAGGTAACCTTACTTAACTGGTTGATATAGCCCTCCACCTTAGTAGGGTGGTTTATTCCGAATTGTGTTCTATCTGTCCATCAGGTTTCTGCTCCAAAGTATGCACGTTTGAGGACACATGCTTCAGCGGCTTGCCGTAGTAGTCTGGGAGGGGCTCCTCTTATAGAGTTACCCAGGGATTTAAGAGCTCTGGCTATTACAATAGCTTTTGTAGCTAGTTCTTTCGTATGCCATTTGAAGGATAACTTTTTATCGAAGAGGATTCCGAGCCATCTAATATAGGGCTTTCCATTGGCAAGTTCTTTGATTGTTAGATCTCCCATAGTAATTGTAGGGGTAGTATCTGGGTTCTGTTCAGTCCTGCGTTTTGAGAAGTGGATGAGTTCTGATTTGCCGGGATCAAAGGTAATGCCTTCTGAGGCGCCCCAGGTTAGGATCTCCAGTGTGGTAGCGTTGAGTTCGGTGACATTATCATCCAGAGAGTTCGAGGCTGCTAGTATAGCTACATCGTCTGCGTAGCCGAATTTGATTGTGTCCTTCCCCATTTTGAAGATAGGGGCGATGTATAACATAAAGAGAATGGGTGATATAGGGGAGCCTTGTGGGAGCCCGCATTCAATGTTTGTTTTGGGGCCTGTGGTTCCATCTAGGCGGACTTGGATGGTTCTTCGGGTTACGAAGGAGGATAACCATTTGGTGAGGTTAGGGGCCCAGCCTTGTTCCCGGAGCCTCCGGATCAGGCGTCCGGGGAGGACAGCGTCGAAGGCTCCTTTGATATCGAGAGTGAGCAACGAGGCCGAGCCGTTTAAGTTAAGTGCATGTTCGACATCGTGGGTAAGGCAGGTGGTGAGGTCTACTGAGGATCTGAGAGGCAGGGCTCCGAATTGGTGTGTGGAAAGGACTTTATGGGAGATCGAGGTCCAGGACATTTGCCGGGCAATTAATCGTTCGAGTCCTTTGCCGAGGACTGAGAGTAGGGCGATGGGTCTGTATGATCTGGGAGAGGAGAGGTCGGCCTTATTGGGTTTGGGGATGATTGCAAGGATCGCACTGCGGAAGGATTTCGGGTGATATCCGAGGTGGAGACAGCTGTAGTAAAGTTGGGAGACGAATGGCTCGATCAGAGACCAGGCTTCTTTGAGGATTGCTGTAGGGAGTTCGTCTGCCTCAGGGGCTGTATTGCCTGCCAACAAGACTGCGTTCTGTATCGCTTGAACATTGATGATTGGGGGAGGGAGTTGTTTGGTAGGGACAGTTGGGCAATCTATAGGGATGTCTCCAATTTCTGTATCTCTTTTGAGGAGATTGTTTATTAAGATGGTTTGTTTTTCCGGGGTCCCGGTTGCAAGGGGTCGGTTGGGGTGAAGGGGGTCCTTGAGAGGGGGGGAATGGAAAGAGCCTGTGGTTTTATGCCATTTAGATATGGCGAAGATGTCCTTGGTATGTTGGGCCTGGTCTATCTTTGTGCGGTAGAAGGATCTTTTAGCTTTTCGGATGGTTTGTCTGAAGAGTTGTTTGTCAATCTGATTTCGGTGGTATTGTATGCATGCATTGCTGCATTCATCGTTCCACCAGGGTTGGCCTTTGTTTTGGCCTGTAGTTCTTTTGGCAGAGCCACAATAAGCTTTGTGGATGGCGTCTACAAGGTCATCGGTGAACTGGTCTAGTTCTGCTTCGCTTCGAGGTGGGGCATTCAGGGTTGTGAGATTGGTTTTTAAGAGGGATTTGAAAAGGATAGGATCGAGGCTTTTAGGACGAAGCTGTTTCAAAGTATTCGTTGTATTGGATATCCATGGGATATTTGTAAGGAGGGGAGTGTGGTCCGAGGTGACATCAAGGTGATAGGCGACACGGGTATTGAGGCCTTGTTGATGTAGTGTGTGGGAGCAAAAGGCCAGATCCAGAACATTGCCTATAGAGTGGGTAGGTTTATCTAGCTCGGATGAGAATACTAATTGGTGTTCTTCGAGCCATTTGTTGAAGGGGATAGAGGCAGGAGAGAGGTTTCCTGTATAGCTAGGTTGCCAGTTCCGGTGTGGGAGGTTGAAGTCCCCACAGAGGAAGGTGTTCCCTTGAAGGTAGGTGTCTGGGGTGTCGATGAGGGTTTGGGTGGTATTCTGGGGGCGGGTTGGAGAACCGCGGGGGCTGTTATATATATTGAAGATGGTGACTGAGTAATTGGTCTCAGTTTTTAGTTGGAGGATGAGGAGATCTGAAAGGGCATATGGGTCAATGTGAGGGGGTTTGAGTTGGGTGATAATGATGTCTAGGTCTTTGCGGATGTAGGAGATCACTCTGGGTCTACCATGCTCAAGCCAGTTGTCTGTTGGGGAGTAGCATTGGTATGCTGGGTGCCATTTGGTGATTCGGCGGGAGAGGTCTTTCGAGATGTATGGTTCTTGTATCATTATGATGTCGGACTTTTCGTTGTATGCTGTAGCGAGTGCAATATCATGTGCCTCAGCGCTTCTGTCTGTGTTCAGTTGGAAGACGGATAGTTGTTGTCTATTCATTATGATTTATGGAGCGGAAGATATCGATAGGTCCTGGGGTGACGTATCGGGTGGAGCGGGTGGTAGAGGGGGGGGCTGTTGGTGTGGGTTGGACTGGGGGAGTGACCGGTCTGGAGATAGGTTGGGTCTCTATTGTCTCCATAATGTCGGTGTTGTTGCCGAAGTGTTTCCGGTTGCCTGCAATGCATCCATCGTCTTTTCTGGCTTTGGTGGTGGCAAGAAAACCTGATTTTCTGATTTCGATTTTCTGTTCTTTGGTGAGTTGTCGGCCTTTGCCGGCGAAAAGAGGGCATCTGTGGTCATCGGCTGCGTGGGGGCCGTGGCAATGTAGGCATCGGGGAGGGCAGGTGTGTTCCCCTTGTGTATCGCATCTGTTCGAATGAGCGAATGTTTTATGTTCTGTGGAGCCGCATAAGCGGCATTTGCTAGGTCTAGCACAGGTTCTTGGGTTATGCCAGTTCCAGCATTTGTCGCATTGTATGATTTTATTCTTGCGGGGCAGCAATCGGGTTGTGGTGGTTACCCCGAAGAGTCGCATGAACTTCGGGATTTGGGATGGATTGGTCTCGTTTGGAAAGTTGACGAACCAATCGCAGGTTGAACTGGACGGAGTGATAGTGCTGTTCGGTGTTTCCGCTACCAGAAGTGGGGTGACACCTGTCAGTTCTTTAATGGCCAGTTTTAACATGTGTGAATCCATATCTCCTGTTGTATATTGGTCATTTTCGAAGAGGCCTATGCGTCTGGGGACGTTGGAGATACGGTATGAGAGCCATTGAGCGTTTCGCTCTACTTTGACCGTGCCAGAAGGGGAGGTGAAGAAGTTGGAGATGGTTTGAATCTGGGATTCGAGGATTGAGAGGGATTCGGGTCTGTTTGGGCATAAGGCCAGGCCGGACTTCGTTTGCTGTATTTCCTGAAGAGCTTTTCCATGTATTCCTAGTTTGGTTTTGAGGCTCGTGTAGATAGCATAGACATGCATATCTCTTGCCGGGTGGGCTAGAGGGAGTCGGACGAAGAGTCTGTTGTCCTCGGAGAGTTTTTGAATGCTTTTGGTCTTTGTGGCTGAAGGCTGGCTGAAGATCTTTGAGGTAGTTGAGGCAGCAGCTTTGGCATATGTAGGCTTTGTGATCGGGGTGCTGTTCGATGCAGAGGCATTTTTGTGTATATGTGGCTTGATCGGGGTTGAGCCTGTGATAAATGCTTTGAAGTGTGTTGTAGCCACTGTTGCGAGTTCGTCGCTGAGTTGGGCCAGGGCTTCCTTTAAGTGTTTGGGGAGGCCTTGATTGTTGGTGCGGTGTTGATCCAAGAACTTTGCGATAGGATCAAATAGGGACTGTCCTTCAGAGGCTCTGATGGAAGCTGCTGCTACAGATTCCGCTAGAGCCTTCTGGAGGGGGCCGTCGGGGGGGGATGGGGCCATGATTGACCTTGTTGCGGTGCCCAAAGGGCAGCGCTTTGCGGAGAGGAGATCGTTTGGAGTAGACAGTATAGATATAGTCGGTTTCTCTTCGAAAAGAGGAAACGTGTCGATTTGTATCTCTCATTATATATATAAATGTTACGATCACGGATCTTACAGTAACCGATCGTGTGTTTACGAGATGCGATTCGATCAAATTAGTATGGGATTAAGGTCATGTGAGGATCTGAAGAGCACAGACTCTGTTATTATATGATTCCCACCGATCCCACCGACTTAAATCAAGTGGGAGCGATGGGATGAGGGGATAGGGAGTACGAAGATCTATATAACTAGGAGGGATTCCCTCACTCTAGAGCTTGGTGCTCAAGATCAATCATTTAGTATACTCTACTATTAGTTACGAATTGCATATCATTATGGTCATTACTTAAGTCCCTGCTTGACGCCTAGTTATAAACCACCTCGAGAGCCTAGAGTACTTCCACGTGATCTAGACGGCAAACCTCGTAACATCTCTCTCTTATTTCTCTCATTCCATCCTATCACACCGCACTTTCTTTATACATCTACTTTCTCTCATCGTAGACACATCAACATCAACATCAAAATACCAAATAATAAATGTCAAGAGTACCAAGTACAAAGTACCAAATACCAAATACTAAATACTAAATTCAAATATCATACCGAATATCAAATATCAAATACTAATTTCAAAGTCCAAAAACTCGCCAGCCAATACCAAAAACCATTCAGTAACCCATCCAATCCAATCCAGCCCAGCCCAGTCCAATCCAGTCCAGGTCAATCCAACCTATCCAATGCATCCGCATTATCCACCCATGGAAGGAATTTCCACCTTCCACCCCACCTAACCACCGAGATCATTCCTATCCTTTCCTATCCTATCCCATCCCACCCAGATCATCCAATCCCCTATACATCCCACCAAAAGAGACATGAGGTTTTTATAAAGACAGAAAAAAATAAAAAACCACCCAGATTGTTTTTATCTGTAAGTAAGGTTTTCCCGTTCCTGGACCCCAACCTAAAATGCTGAAAGTCTGTCCGCCCAAATATATGATGTGACGAGAATGATGGAGAAGATAAAATTCAAATGCTAATGCCATGCAATGCGACAAACAACTCCTAATGATATGATTCGTCAAATGAGAACATATCATGGGATGATAAATAAAAAATATAAGGTATTTTTTTGAATAAGAATGTTAACATCTCCGATGTGGTATCCCGAACTTTGAGTAGTCCATATGAAGCGGAGTGTCGAAGCCAAAAAGTGGCGTAGAATTGCACAAGTTTTTGTACCGCGGTCAAATTCCGAAATCATGCTTCGTATGGATAAAGTTGTGAAGAACGATGTAAGCCGTGTCGTAAAATAAATGGATAAAATAATAATATTGTGATGATCGGCAAGGTAAGCCTCAACGCCAGGGACGAAAATCATGGGAACGTGAGGCGGTAAATGATTATCGATCCGAACTTTTTCGGCCCGTATGTGCATATTTTTCGTCAAACCCGAGTTTCCTTTGTGCATTAATCCTAGATGTGATACGAGATCCTGGTTCATGGTGTGTTACCGTT